AAAAAAAAACACAATAAATACCCATCCCCTCACGAGAGTTCTACTGACTTCCAACTTCTCTATCTCTTTTCACATGATATTAAAGTTACAATTGTAATAATTTTTTTTCCCAGTTTTCCCATAGGCTCAAATTATCATCCAGAAACCTGCATTGATCCTTTTCCATTTTAAGTTGGTAAATCAGCTGAATTGTTATTGATTTTATATTAAAAGGGATATCTCCTTTCCAATTCCTTGCTATTATTATTTTGCAGGCCATTAAACAGTGAATAATTAAAAATTGATTTATTTTATTTAATCTTGGCCATTTATAATGTAACAACATCATTTCCGGTTTTAAAGACATTTTAACACCGCATAGCCTATGGATGACAAGCTGAGCCCACTGCCATACAACAATCACTTGTTTACAAGACCACCACATATGAACATAATTTCCTTTTTCCTCTTTACATTTCCAACACTTTGTGTCTCTAGAAACATCAAATTTCGCTATTTTCATTGGCGTCATATACCATTGGTTAACAAGCTTAAAGTGAGTTTCTATCAACACAAAGGAGTGGACATATTTATTAATTTTTTGTAGGGTAGATATCCATTCAGAAAGTTCTATGTTTAGTTTTAGTTCACTATTCCATTTTTTAATAGCACTAGGCGGATCAGAATCATCCAATAAATCTAACATCCTAACACATCTAGAGAATAACTGCTTTGTCTTATTCTGGTATAATATTGATTTTAATATATCGTACATCTTACCATCTTTTACTAACTCAACTTTCTCCAAATAATGTTTCACTCTAAAATAAGTATATACATCTTTAACAGAGATCTTAAACTCCTCTACCAGCATTTTATAAGTTTTAATTTTATCCTCTTTAATCAGATCTTTTATAATATGTATTCCTTTTTCTTTCCATAGTTTTAAGGAGATACTCTCCATGTTTAATTCTAATATTTCTAATTTTTGAAAATCGAATATTTTTATTATCCAAATCAATTTTTTTCCTTATTTTTTGCCATATTGGAGTAATCTGTCCTAAAATGTACGATCTGGATAAGTTGTATTTTATTGAACTCCAAAATAAGTCTAAGGTATCACTGTGTTGGCTAGATTCTGATTCTGACTGCCACCAGACTTCCTCTTTATTTTGTTTTATTTGACTAGCCATTACATGCATAATAATTCCTGCTTCATAATATTTTCTTATGTTTGGATATCCTAGGCCTCCCTTCTTCATTCCTCTTGCTAATGTTCCAATTTTAATTCTGGGTTTTTTCCCTTGCCATACAAAATTAGAGAAGACCTTATTGATCATTGTCAACCATGCATTCGGGATTTCTAATGGAAGCATTCTGAACATATAAATCCATTTTGGCAAGACATATGATTTTAGAATATTTATTCTTCCTCCCCAAGATACTTCTAATTTTCTCCATTCTTTCAGATTCTTATTAGTTTCTTTTAGAAGATCCATAAAATTAATTCGCATGGTACTATCTACCTTTCTACAAATTTTAATTCCTAAATATAAAAACACTTTAGCTTTAGTGAAGACATATGTTTCTTGATAGGAGTTTATTTCTTGCTTTTGATATATTGATATATATAGCACTTGATTTTGTTTTATTTAATTTATAGTTTGATACTACACTATATGTATAAATTTCTGACATTGCATTTAATAATGATGTAGAGTTACTCAAAAATAGAATAGTATCGTCAGCATATAGAGATATTTTCAATTCTTTCTGTTTTGCTTTAAATCCCTTAATATTTTCATTATTTCTAATTCTGTTAGCTAAAACCTCTAATGTTAATATAAACAATAAGGGGGACAAAGGGCAGCCTTGTCTGGTCCCATTACTCAATTTAAACCAGTCGGAGCAAATGCCCGGACCGATTGTTCTCGCCGTTGGATCTATGTATAGAGCCAAAATTGCATTAAGCAACCATCCCTGTATACCCACTTCTTCTAGGGTAAGCTTCATAAAGTCCCAGCTGACCCTGTCAAAGGCTTTTTCAGCATCTAAAGACAGGATCAGCATGGGACTTTCTTTCTTTTGTGATATATCTAATACGTCAATCAAGCGTCTAATATTATTACTTGACATTCTGTCTGGAACGAAACCTGTTTGATCAGGATGGATTAACTGTTTTATAACTTCTTTTAATCTGCTAGCTATGATAGAAGAAAATATCTTAATATCTACATTTATTAATGATATTGGGCGATAGCTTTGTACTTTAGTTGGATCTTTCCCTGGTTTCAAAATAGGTAAAATATTTGCTTTAAGCATTTCATCTGGGAATCTGCCCTTTTTAACAGCAGAATTAAAAGTATTTTTTAAATGTATTGTCAGATGAGATTTCATTGTCTTATAGAATTTATTTCCAAATCCATCCGGACCTGGCGTTTTATAGGTTTCTAATCTGTCTATCATGATATTGATCTCTTCTTCCGTAATCTCTTTATTTAATTTATTTACCTGTGACTCTGTTATTTTATTCAATTTTGCTGACCTAATATATTTTTTTTTTATTTCTGAAGGAGTGATAACTGAAAGACTATATAGATTGGCATAGTACTCATTGAATGCTTTCCCTATCTGTTCTGGTAGAAGGGAGATGTTGTCGTTAAAGATTATTTTATCGACCTTATTGGTCGTATTTCTTTTTTTCAACATATTAGACATTATTTTATCAGCTCTATTAGATTTATGGTAATATTTAACTTTAAGTTTATGCATATTTATTTTAATTTTTTCATAAGTTTTTTCCTGAATCTCAGATTTAATTTTCTGTATTTTTAACTGAGTATCCTTAGTTGGGTTTTCGTTATTTTTTTTATTTAGTTTATATGATTCAATATAAAGATCTTGTATATTTGCACCTTTTTTTTTTTTTTCTTTAATTTATTAAGCATTATGCAATGTCCCCTTATTACTGCTTTATATGAGCACCATAGAATGTCATTCTCCACAAGTCCATTATTATTTTCCTCAAAATAACAAATGGTCATTTTATCTATATAGTCTTTATATTCCTTATTTGATAATAATGAATCATCTAACCTCCAGGTTGTAGTTTCATTACTCTTTGATTTATTACTGTTTAGTTCCAGACACACGCTATTATGATCTGACCATACTACTGGTTTAATTTCTATTTTATATGTTCTGTCTATTAGTTTTAAATCTCCAAATATAAGATCTATCCGCGAGTATGAATCATGGGGCCAGGAGTAAAACGTAAATTCTTTCGCTGCAGGATTGTTGAGTCTCCATATGTCAAATAGGCCTTCTCTTTTCATCAAATTATTAAAAGTCCTTGCATTTTTTAAAACTTGTTTGTCCCAAGTCAGATGTTTTTCAGAGAACTTATCTAATAGGGGATCTTGTATACTATTAAAGTCCCCTGCATATATCTTTATTCCTACACCTACTTTCTCAATCTTATTAATTACTTTTCTCAATAGACATAAGGGGTTTTTATTAGGCAGATAAATATTAATTAAAGTGAAGATACATAGTGACACACATGCAGATACACAGAAACAAACACTGACATACATGTACATACACAGACATACACACTCATAAACACATATGTAGATATATAGACACACAGATACACACTTTCATACATAAAAATACTCACACTGACACACAGATACATATACAGACACATAGAAACACACACTGAAACATATAGATACATAGATACACACACACATATTCACAAATACAGACATACAGATACACACACTGACACACATACAGATACACATACAGATACATATATATATATATATATATATATATATATATATATATATATATATATATATATATATATATATATATATATATATATATATATATATACACAAACTGACATGCAGATACACACTAAAACATATGCAAATACACAGACACACATAAACATACACTGGTACACGTACAGACACAGAGAAACACTCACTGACACAGATACATATTTAGATATACAGATACACAGACCCAAACACTGACACACATGCTGTTTAAAGTTTACCAGTGTGAAATGATGCATATATTTTGCAGTATGATTGGCCCATTATGGTAGTTTCATTCATTTTCCCAATTTGTTTTTGTTAATGAAATTCTGACTGGCTGGACCACTATGTGGCCAAAATTTGAAAAAAAAAATATTTTAGGTCGAAGTGGTTTACTGAATACAATTTTTTTTATTTTTTTTATTATGCACAACTCTAGTCAGTATCATATACTGTATCTCCATAGTCAAGAAGCAACTATTTGGAATACTTTTGTGACAAACCTCCAAGATGCTGGCATCCACTGGCATACAAATAAGAGAAATGTTCAATGCATAAATGTTAATCACTGTGACCACCACTACATTGGTTTATTAACACTGAATGGTAAGGTGTAAGACTGGAAACGTGACCTCTTCAAATATCCATATAAATAGCAATTCAAATTTAACAAGTATACACAATATAAATGGTGCAATCTCAATTAATAAACTTATATTACTAAAAATAATACTACGAAATAAGTTAAAATGATGGGATTCACAGGTGAAACTTCATTAATGAAAATATTCTATGTGCAAATTAAGTAATGTTTTTTAAAATGGATGTCACGTTTGTGCTTTTTTTAGTTAATAAAATTCTTTTATGTGTTTTTTTTTTTTTCTCGCTTGCAATGTGTCCCCTTGAAAAGTTATTGCTTTGTAAATGTAAGGACTATTTATATCATGGGCTTCCCCTTCAGTGATGGCAGTCTCAAAATGTTATTCGGATAACACTGCAATGTAATTTGTTAGATGGATAAGGTAAGACAATATTTAGAAAATTTGCACATCAGGTGCAGGGCAGAAAATGTCCTACACCTGTTGCGTTAAGAAGGGGGATAAGTGGATAACCAGGGCATAACCCCTAAACATAGAAGGGGGCTAAGTGGATAACCAGGTCATAACCCCTAAGTACAAACATAGAAGGAAAAAAAAGAGAACTGGTCTCAGACAAAGAACTGGTACCAGGACTCACAATGTATACATTGTGAGTCCTGGTAAAAGTTCTTTGTCTGAGACCAGTTCTCATTTTATTTTTCTATAAGGTAAGACAATAGTCTTCTAATACATAATAGGTAGTGAGAAAAAGAAGGGGGCTTAAACTATTTAAATGTGTTTAAACTCATGACAGATCATTGCAAGTCTTCAAAAAGGAAGGCTATAAGGTAAAGTGGTAGGGGATCAGCAAGCAAGTATTGAGCAAAAGCAAGTAACTAGCCACATGTACATATCCATAACATACAAACAATACTTCTAACTAAAGGGTAACAAGGGATTTCTTAAACAAGTGCGGAGTGTTTAAATTGACTAAATAAAAAACACCATTGGTAATATAAATATATATATATATATATATATATAAGACAGGAGCACTTGCTCGGTTTTCCAATTATATTTAAAAAATATCACCACCTATACATCAAAGTTTGGACCCTTCAGGGTCTTTATCAAGATGATATATGATATCTTGATAAAGACCCTGAAGAGTCCAAAGTCCTGTCTTTACTTTTTTATATAACCTGCTTGGAAGCACCCGGGTAACGTTTCTTCATTTACACTTTTCGGGTTGAGTGCCAGAGTCTGGATAGATATAGAGATATATATTACTAAAAATATAATTGATAATTTAAGGGATATAAATTATTATTTTAATTGTATATATTTTCCTAAAGGTCCATGTTATCAGCAAGATATACGACAGTTCCCCATGTAACTAATCTCCTTCATACACAAACTTTATGGAAGTGTCCTGCTCAGTGAGAGAGCCTCTGGATGCCTCTTTTGAATGTGAGGAAAACAAGGCATCATTGACTTGCAAGATCCAGTCAATAATTCTCTCTTGGGTGAAATGGCTCATCTCTGTCTTGCACATTTCTAGACCCAACTCCACATCTATCACTGCTGTTTCACTGTCTGTATCTGTACCGAAGGCAGAGTCTCTAGAAGACCGTTTTCCCTCATCTTTTATGTTCTGTTTGGACTCCTCACAGCTCCTCCAGGTAGGGATGCACTTATTGGCCAAGCGGCGCTGGGTCCTGTAGCCAGCTGTCATCACACCTCTCTTGGCTTCTGATGTTCTTTGGGCGCTGGATTCTTTCTTCAAGCCTCTTCTAGGAGTGATGACCAGGAGACATGACCGGTAGAGTTCTGGACTTGGTGTAGACTTCTCTTGAGACTTGGAAAGGTCCTCAACGTTCTGAAGCAAAACTGTTGTTCTCTGGTCCCAGCAACTAGGAACCACCTGGAGTGTCTGGTGAAATCGCCCTCCAGCAGCACCTAATGGTGGGGCATCTTTCAGACTTGTACACCCTTGTAGGTCTTTTTCTGGAGTCTTGACATTCATCTGGAACCTCCATACATCTGGACTTAAAGGTTCTCTCCCTACTGATTCAACATCAAGGAGGCTGGGCTGCCGGGTAGCCAATGACAAGCTGCTGTCTCCAGTAATGGTCAGAATTGGTGGTAAGAACTGACTTTGAGACATTTTATTGCTGTTTGATGCACCTTTCTTGGGGTGATTGTTGGAGGTGGGATCAGAAGTGTAGGACGTCTTGGTGGTCTCATGATGTCTAGAGGTGGGGTTTTTGTAGTATCCTTTAGCAGGGTAAGATGTTCTCCCACAGTTTAGACCTCCTTTGTACAGTGTCATTTCACTTTTAGGTTTCTTTTTCCTGTTGATCCACGCGTGTTTTCTTTGTTGCACCATCCTGCCAGGCTCTGTGGGTCTGTAACTCATAACAGAGATAGATTCTGTGTTGCAGTAAACGGTAGACAATGTAGCAGAGCAGGTCCTTGCTGTTTGTTTGCTTCCAGAGTAATACACAGAAAGTCTATTCACCTTCACTTTATAGAGTAAGTGCCCAGTGACGTCAGCAGGAAACTCAAGAGCTTTCAACCTCGCATGATGTAGCACAGATCATGATTAATGTAAGGCCAGATCTGCGGACAAACACTAACAGTTACAGGTTGAAGCAAGAGATATTTCATTGTGTTTTAGAACACAGCGTGTCACAGCCTGGTCCAGGTGAGAGCTGCATGCTGGGGGAATCCTGAATTGTGTAACAAATATATTATCTCACTGCTGATACATTCTCAGGAGTTCTTTTCTCTTTAGAAATGAAATAGCAACAAAAAAGTTAGTTAAATAGTTGGAGTAAATAGAAATATACTGGGTATTGCAGTTTTTTGGTACATGAAATCACCATAGTGTATTTTTATTACCAGAGTGGTAAATATTCTGCAGCACTGCATAACAGGTAAACAAAGTACACATTTACATTGAGCTAGATTTAGGCAATATATAGATTAGAGAGATAGTCAGATAGTAATACAGACAGACAAGTAGGATAATAGACAGACAGAGAGAAAGACAGACATGTAGAATAAAAGATAGACACATAGTAATACAGACAGACAGGTAGGATAATAGACAGATAGACAGAGAGAGAGAAAGACAGGCAAGTAGGATAAAAGATAGACACATAGTAATACAGACAGACAGGTAGGATAATAGACAGACAGACAAACAGACAGGTAGGATAATATACAGAGACAGATAGAAACACAGACATACAGTAGGATAATAGAAAGACAGATAGGATAATAGACAGAAAAACAGACAGACAGGTAGGATAATAGATAGACAGACAGACAGACAGGTAGGATAATAGATAGACAGACAGACAGACAAGTATAGTAGTCCACTGGGAAATAATCCAGAGTGCTAGACCATGGCTGAGGAGTAGTGAGAGCAGAGGCCATGCCAAGCACAGATTACAAAGTGCTGGACTAGCAAAGGCTCTGAACAATTCCTGCCTGCTGCCTCATAATTACAATTATTTATATAGCACCAACAGATTCTGCAGTGCTGAACAATTTGTAATACAAGACAAACAATCCTAACAAAACATGTTCGCCATACAGTGACAGTAGGTAAAGAGGGCACTGCCCAGGCATGCTAACAATCTAAACACCTGCAAACCTGTGCAAACAGACATGCCAACACGCCTTTAACTTTCAGAAGAATGCTTTATAGCTGTAGGCTACAATCCACATGACTGCCCTCGTCTGCTAGTGGCATTTGCCCACTGTATCCTTTGCCAGATATATAAAGAAAACGAAAAAGCTAAAAAGCCCTAAGGGAACCGGCTAAGTGTGTGTCAGGGGCAACCATAACAGGGGGTAACCCTTACATATAGTTGTGCAAAAAAAGAGGAAAAGACCCAAAGGGTCAAAATAGGAAGCCCCTCAGTTAGACTCTATATACATAAAACATAACTTCTAATGATAATCTGCCAGATGTTCAATACATGTGAGGACTTCACAAACATCCCTTTTGGTCAAATAAGTAGAAATCAAAGAACAGTGGCAGAGATCTCTCAATCACAGCAATCTCTCTGGTCTTATTGATTGATAATTGAAAGGTAAGGCTGCTAGGCTGCATCGTTATATTCAGACACTAATTACAGGGACACTATATGCTCTCCTATGGGGAAATCTTAATGTGAACGCGGCCATTGCCACGCATGCACATTAGGACTTCGAGGCGCGAGTCAGCGCAAAGGGACACAGAAAGGGTGTTTAATCCCTACTGTACCACGTGGGGGGAAGGTGGCCACTATAGGGAGGTATAACAACTTTGGTTTTCTGGTACTACAATTTCTCTTTAATGTTACCAGAGGAATAGAATCACAAGGAAACTATCAGTGGGTTTGATTATTTGAATCACGGATCTCTGCTTTCATTACAGTCATTTACTCTTAGGAAGTCACTGGAAGACTAGAGACAGTTATATAAAAATCAGATGGAGCTGTGATTCCCTGTGCTCACCGACCTGTGTGTCCCTTTTAGGGATCGTCCGATATTGACTTTTTTAGAGCCAATATCGATAATCTGTGAACATTTAGACCGATAGCCGATAACTTACTGATATTTAGTACATTTACTATCTTTACACAAATCTACTGTTAACTGAACATGTTTATTATTAATTTTTTTAAGGTAAATGCACACAATATACATGCCAGTCAGAATTTTTTATGTTTTCAAGTATATATATGTTTGTGTGTAGTGAATGCAGTGTGTGTTTGTGTAGTGGATGCAGTGTATGTTTGTGTAGTGTGTATATAGTGAATGCAGTGTGTCTTTGTGTAGTGTGTATATAGTGAATGCAGTGTGTTTGTGTAATGTGTATATAGTGAATGCAGTGTTTGTAGAATGAATGTATAACTGAATGTAGTGTGTATATAGTGAATGCATTGTGTGCTTATGTAGTGTGTGTATAGTTAATGTAGTGTGTGTGTTTCTGTAATGTGTATATAGTGAATGCAGTGTGTGCTTGTGTAGTGTATATATAATAAATGTAGAGTGTGCGTTTGTGTAGTGTGTGTGTATAGTGAATGCAATGTGTTTGTGTAGTGTGTGTATAGTGAATGCAGTGTGTTCGTGTAGTGTGTATATAATGCATGTGGTGTGTGTTTGTGCAGTGAGTGTTTGTGTCAGTATGTAATGGGGAGGGGGGGATTTTTATTTTTGTAACTTTAAAATGTTTCATTTTTTTTACATTTTGTTTTAGTCCCCCCTCCTTGCTTCTTACCTGGCCAGGGAGGTGGGATATGGCATTTCCTGGGGGGCCCAGCGCACACTTACTTCCCTTCTAAATCTTGCAGCCTGTGTGCCGCGCGGAGTGTTGCCATGGTAACGCATGGCAATGCTCTGATGGCTGTGGGACTCACAAGCGTTAGAGCGGGGAGCTGAAGGGAAGGTAAGTAAGAGTGTGCTTGGCCCTCCCGGACCCTGAAGGTGGCCCTGGTCTACATTATCGGCAATATCTGTATCTTTATTGGCAGATACCGATATTACTGAAAATACAAAATATCAACCAGACCGATAATCGTTCGATCCCTAGCCCTTTAAACTAAATTTTAATAACAGAAAAACTGTTCGGAAACCAAGATACAATGTCTCGCTTTGTTAAGAGAAATCGGTATCACTGCAGTTTAACCAAACCAGCTGAGGTCGGTGCAGTTCATTGCCAGTGCCAGTGCCATGCACTGATCGTACCGGTCAGTAGAAATGCTTTAGTGATTGATGGAAGTGTCTTTAAAGAGGCACTCTAATCACCATAACCACTATTCATATTCTAGCCTTGCCTCGTGATGTTATGAACTCAGTTTATCATCTGGTCTAAAACAAGGTATTTGTTGTAAAAGAACTAACTCACATCTCCACGCCTCACTGCAACAGTTGACTTAACCTTAACCCTTACAACCCTTTGTAAGAACATACAAAAACAAAAAGACAAATATACTACAGGGAAAAATGAGAAGAGAAATCAAATTATTAAAAAACACTAAATTTCTTAATTAAATGAATGACAAAAAAAGTGCTTCCCTTGTTTGGCCTCTTGGTATTTACTATAATCCTTTTATATAAAATCAAATATTTCAAAAGCTAAAACCAATTGGAAAAAAAACTCTAGGAAAATCTACAATAACCAAATGCACTGATCATACAAAAAAAAAAGAATGTAAGTAAAGGACTATACAGTCAATAAATCAAAGTTTTAGGAGTAAGAAACAGATTGAAAGAGTAACCCGGGGCAAGAGGATACAATGTGTCTATTGAAACTCCAAATTGTTACAGAGCTCCAATTACAATATCCTTAACGGTCACTCAAAAATCTAACCTGCTTTTAAAATGTTTTAAAATCATATTATTATTATTGGAATTTATAGAGCAACGTATTCAGAGTGCTTTACAATATTACAAAGAGGGAAATTTAACAATTACAAAACAGTACAGGAAAAATAGGTTAATGAGGACCCTGCTCAAACGAGCTTACAGTCTAGAGGAGGTTTGGTAAAACCTCAAGGTTCAAGGTGGAAAAGTAGCAAAACTGGAAGGTGACAGTGGAGTGAGACTCTCTAAGAGAGCAAGAGACAGGTTACTGAAATAGAAGTTACTCTCGGAGGCCACGCCTCTTTGGCCTCCGAGAGTAACTTCTATTTAAAGGACTTCTTAAACAATTGTAGTCTGGGATAGAGTGTAATGGGAGTAGGCAGGCTGCTCCAAAAAGAAAGAAGACCAGCGAGCCTGGTCCTATGGCGGAGGTTTATTGACGACGTGATAGTTATCTGGAAAGGCACGCAGGAGGCTTTTTTATCCTTTGTACAATATTTGAATTCCAACCCTTTTAATTTGAAGTTTACACCAGAATGGCATAAAGATACCATTAATTTTTTGGATCTAAGTCTATTTCGGGAGGAGAATAAGATCAGATCTAGATGTTGTTTTTTTTTTAAATTGATGGTAACAGCTATGTCCATAGGACAAGATGTCATCATCAACCGTGGCTGAGGGGTATAGCCAAAAGCCAAATAACAAGAATACGTAGGAATTGTTCGAATATTCAAGATTTTGAGATCCAGGCAGAACACATAAAAAATAAATTGGTAAATAAAGGGTATAATAAGAACACGATTGAAAAGGAAATTAGATTAGTGAAGAAAAAAGATAGAAGAGATTTATTAACTAAAAATTTAAGAAGTGAATACAACACTTTTTGCTGGGCGTTTTGTAAATCTGATATGTGCCACCATGATCATACTCCTTAAATTATGCTTAGCTAACTCTCCAAAGTAATATCTGTATTTGAGGTTCGTTTGGGGGAAACCTGCACCTATTTTTTGCATCACAGTTAAGTACTTTTGCCTATTTCCTATTAGTCGGTGGGTTAGGTATATTTGTACTTTTTGTGTTTTTTTTCGCCAAAAGGAAAGTAGCCACCCGCGAGAAGTCTTGCAAGCGCAAGTTAGCAGTAATGGTGCGAACAGCAGACAGGAGAAGGTCACTAACAGAGCAGAGACCGAGGAGGGACGTACATATGAAATAGTGCAGAAATATAGCAGGTGCTAGAGTTATTTAAAACATTATAGGTAAGGGTTAGTATTTTTGAAATGACTGCTATAGGGTAAAGGAAGTCAATGTAAGGACTGACTGGACGAATTGTGGGAGGAAAAAAAAAAAGTCACCCTTGCTGCATCATTCATTACAGAGTGAATAGATTCGGACAACAATTAGAAGAGATTTATAGTAATTAATGTGAAAAATTACTAGATAGGGTTTTGCACTGCTAAACAAACTGCAACAAGTTAGTCGTTTCATTAACCTATTTTATGACTTGAAAGATCCATAGAGGGGGGAGGGTATGAATTCGAGATAATGCTACCCCACTGAAATCAGATAGATTTATGGAAGCAGGGGCTGAATAAATGACCAATCTTACCTGCAAGTGTGTAAGAGTGTGTGTCCATTTTCGAAAGATAAAATCAGACACATAATTTAGTGTTCCCTCTCCCGAATTTGGTCTCTGAGTCCACCCCTGAAAGAAGCTGGATATTATATATGGGACGTGCTGAAAAACTGTTTAGGTGAAGGAGTCCTCCAATTAGCTAATTATCTTGCACGATTCCCGACTGAGCAGTGCATATCCATACACAATGATTGGTAAAAATCAGGTTAGACTTTTGTGTGAGTCAATTATGTTGTAAAGGAAACTAACAATCTGTAGTTTCAATAGACATTGTATCTTCCTGCCTTTGGCTTCAGTTTCAATGTTTCTTACCCTTCAAGCTTTGATTTACTGACTGCATAGCCCTTTACTTACTTTTTTGGTATGATTAGTACATTTGGCTATTGTAGCTGTTCCTAAGGTGAAGATTTTTGTCAACTCACTTTAGCTTGGTGGAATATTCTGTTTAACCACTTTGTGACACAGCTTCAGTTTGCTTGTTTTGTACTTCAGGACACAAGCAATTTTGGCATTTTTGCTTTGTGTCTTTAAACACAATTTCCATCATTTTCATTTATTACACCAACCCATTGTATACACAATTTTTAAGGGCCAAAATGGGCTATTGCTAGCAATGTTTTTTTTTTTAAAGTGTATTTTGTAAAACTGATGTGATATTCACGCACAGAACCCAAGATTGTATTCAGCTACATCTTCCTAGTACAATACCTCCAAATGTATGCCTTTGTTACTGTCCTGTAAGGCTACAGTACCATATAAGAGCCCTGACCACTTCAGTTTTTACAGTTAGAATTTGATAGATGGGTTTGATGGGCCTAGGTCTCATTTTGGAGCATTAGAGCAGTTTGTTGAAATTACCCCACACTTGACTTTCATCACTTTATGTCAGTTTGTTATTTCTTTTCCTCTTGCATTTTACAACACTTTTTGCTGGGCGTTTTGTAAATCTGATATGTGCCACCATGATCATACTCCTTAAAATTATGCTTAGCTAACTCTCCAAAGTAAATAACCTTCCTCTACTACGTGCCTTTCTAACAAAAAGTGATAACTCTGCATTATCCACCTACCGTAGTAACTGTAGAGTCACACACCATTTAGATGTTAACATTGGGAGCAGGATATTGTAAAACCATGTACCTACCACACTGTAACATTAGTGGTCTTCATGAAGGATGTACAGAAATGCCTGTGAATTATCAGATTAACAATTAGAATGGTCCATGCTTTCTCAGCCTATTTATGATGAAGCCAATAGATACACCAGTAGCATTTTAAGTGTAGAAACTACATCTCTTGAAGAAATGGTAGCTATTGAAGATATTTCTTGAAAACGAAATGCAACTGGATTATTCCTGTATGTGAGAGAACCCCACCATCTCTTATCAGGATATTATATACCAAAGTTCAACAGAGAATCTTCATGAATCTGAAAACATGAATAAGCACCTCTAGAATTAAAAATGATTTTGCCAAAAATACAAAAAGCAGATTTATTTCCACTTTATTTATCTAAAAAATACTAATCATTTTGGTATGATGCTAAAAACTGTGCTCGAAAACAAATTGAGCTAAAAAAAACAATTTGAAATTAATAAAAAACATCCATCATGGCACTCTGTTACTCTAACAAAAATATTTGGCTCTACCATTGCCAAAAACCAGCAATCCTAACTGTTCTGTTCACTCTGTCTATATCTTAACATGCCCAAGGGATTGTGCAATCTAACTAGTTTGTAACACAAAATTCCTGTACAGCTACCTCCTTCACTGCATCTGTGAATTATCAACTCTGACAGTTCATTAAACCAATTCAAAGAACAAACTGGGTAACTCCAAGCTTATCAAAGTTTCTAAGGAGGATGGTAATTGTACAGAGTGTAAAACTGAAAGCACACCCATAGGAATTTAATCAATAAACAACAGAGGCTTCATTTGAGAGGGATTTATTTTAAGTTTATAACATTATATAATTACAACAATTCTACAATATTCTGATTATATAGAATTGTTGCAAAACGTAATCCTTGCAATGGCATATACATATAAAAAGAATGGCAAACAAAAGTATAAAAAGTTAATAAAATAAATTAGAGTGTATCAGGTGTTATTTCCCTAAATATTTTGACATGCCAGATAAATACTCTTGTAAAATGCTTTTTGGAAACGGATTTGCACTCAACGGACTACCAAAAAGGATGATGTGGCCAAGTTCAGGTCTGTTTTCGATGGATAGAGAACTTTGAGATTTCCTTCTATGTCTGTAACCCGTACTTGTTCCACCACAAGTTGGGTGCCAGTCTCTGTTTCAGGTATTTGACAAGCTGCAGGTACTTGATGGCCAACATCAGGTTCTGGTTCAGAGTCACAGACAACTTCTTCTTTATTCTCTAAAGTGAATTTATTTAGCTCAGCCATTTTCTAGAAGAATAAACAAAAAATAAAATCAAGAGGGGTTTAAAAAAAAAAAAAAAAAAGCATTTGCTTGGTTTAAGAGGTGGATAAACCGGTAGCTCTCAGCTGTTGACAGAATACAACACCCATCATGCTTCTGCAGCTTACAGGCAGCCAAAGAGCTACCCTATGGAGACATATGGTATAAGACCTGTTCTTTCATCCACTACAGGCAATAGCAAAGCAGTCTGTCTAGGTTTAAATTATGGTAACACCATTACAATATATATTTACAAAAGAGAAACAGGAACTAATGCGTGTTAATTATAATTAGATGTATACCCTTTACTTGAGGACATACACAATTGTACATTTACATTGGCTTTTAGTGGCAAGGATGTTTGTTCACAAATTACCGTATATACACTTGAGTATAAGCTGACTTTTTCAGCTCATTTTTAATATACTTATACTCGAGTGAGCGCTTCCCTAAGAAGTTCCTGTACTGTTGCCTGCGCTGCCCGGCCACGCTACATAGGGACCACTAAGGAGGGGGGAAGAAGAGGGAAAGGTCCACTAAGGAGGTGGGGAGGAGGAGGAGAAAGGAAAGGACCACTAAGAGGTGGGGAGCTGGAGGAAAAAGGACCACTAAGGAGAGTAGTTGGGGGGAGAAGGGGAAAGGACCCACTAAGAGGTAGGTGGTAAGGAGAAGGAAAGGACCACTAAAAAGGAGTAGGTAGAGGGGAGAAGAGAGGGGTAGGTGGTGGGAGAAAGGGAAAGGACCACTAAGAGGTAGGTGGTAGGGAGAAGGGGAAAAGGACCACTAAGGAGGTAGGTGGGGAGAATGGGGCACTAAGGAGGTGGGGAAAGAGGAGAAAGGACCACTAGGAGGTGGGGAAGAACCACTAAGGAGATGGGAAAGAAGGGGAAAGGACCACTAAGGAGATGGGGAAGAAGGGGAAAAGGACCACTAAGGAGGGTAGAGGGGAAAGAAAGGGGAAAAGGACCACTAAGAGTGGGGGGAGGAAGAAGGGGAAGAAGGGAAAGAAAAGGACCACTAAGGAGGTGGAGGGAAGAAGGGGAAAAGGACCACTAAGGAGGTGGGGAAAGAAGGGGAAGAGAAAGGACCACTAAGGAGGTGGGGAAGAAGGGGAAAAGGACCACTAGGAGGTGGGGAAAGAAGGACCACTAAGGAGGTGGGAAGAGGAAAGGACCACTAAGGAGGTGGGGGGAAGAAGGGGGAAAGGACCACTAAGGAGGTGGGGGGGCAAAGGGGGAAAGGACCACTAAGGAGGTGGGGGGGAGAAGGAGGAAAGGACCACTGAGGAGGTGGGGGTGTGAAAAATAAAAAAATCAGCAAATTCTTTAAAAGAGGATTTTCCTTTTGCTTTAAATGTGTTTTATTAGATCAGGTTTTAGCGAATAAGTACACAGTCTGTAATGGGACTGTAACTCCCATTAGTCATGGGATAATCTGAAGCTTTGCATTGCATTTTGATACAGTAGCTGCTGCATTTCCCACCCTAGGCTTTTACTTGAGTCAATAAGTTTTCCCAGTTTTTTTTGTGGTAAAATTAGGTGCCTCAGCTTATCTTCGGGTTGGCTTATACGCTAGTAAAAACGGTATTTAGGTTTTATTTGCAGAGAGCATGTTAAGTGCTTGGTTCTTTTTCAATTTTTTTGTTATGTTTATAGTATATGTTGATTTGTTGCATATCTATAGTTTACCAAGCAATGTAAAGAGAGAGATATATTTTTACAGAATGTGAAAGTCTAGGCGGTTCAGGAGTGAAAACTAGCTCTGATGTCATTTAAGGGATCATTTACACGGTGTTCCAGTTTGAGACCAGAACTGGGGTATATCACATGTACCAAACTGCTATCAGAGTTACTTTGTGAGTGCCAGGGGATAGGCAAGTGAAAACTTAAAAAGTCATATGTAAAAACTGGTTTAAGATAAACGCAAACCAAATTTACCTAAAGACCCCTCCCCCCCCCCCTCGAATTTAAGTTATAAAAATACTGTAAAATGATTAAAACAATAAATATAAAAACGAGCTATGGGGGTTAATAGGATGTGGTCACAGGTGGATATAGCCAACGATATCCCCTATCCCCCAGTGTTTAAAAGTCCTCATCCTCATGGAATGCAGCAGGACTGACAGGTTTTTTTCCACCATACACAATTCTAATATACACAACCCCTAACCATAAAAATAAAGTTAATACGTACAATGATAATTGCTTCCATGACATCTTTACAAATCTGCAGGCTGCTGGAGCTGGTCACTTCTATAAATAGGTCCCGGGTAGATTTCCATATCTAAGGAATTAATGGTTATGATGATTAATAACAAATTAACTGAGTTATGACCGACTGGAACATCTGCAACTGACCAACACATAACCCACTGCACCCATTACAATATCAAGCAAAGCCAAACTAAAAAACTGTTAGGAGTACCAATTGAAGGAACACTATAGCATTAGGAATACAAACTTGTATATCCAAAGATATAGCACCAGTCGCTACATTCTATACAGATGTCCATCCTCCCACTGGTGTGCCACAATAGTTAATAAAAGGTTTTACTGTTTTTCCAGCACTGAGACTCCCTCAGTGCTGCTCACCTTCCCATTACCTGCGACTTCATGAAGGAGGCATGGCCTCCGGTGCGATGGTCCTATCTAATGCTCCTCATAGAAGAGCACTGGGGACCTAATGCTCATATTTTACTTTGTAGGGCAGGGCAACTGCACTCAGACCACAGCATTGAGGTCTATGGAGGATCCCATCAGATCACGGAATCCATCACAGACACGGCCAATTTCCTGCAGCAATCACTGGTGACGGGATTGATTTAGATTCAGTCATGAGTTTAAGAAAGTCAGGCAAAGGAGAAATACAGAGTACCTACTTTGTGTCTGTATATATCTTGACTGGGTTGGATTTTCAATGATTTATTCAATTTGTTTAGTTTGAATAAATTATTTTTGCCATTAACAGCAATGTAATTTAATATATTACATAGTAGTAAAATTTGGTTTCTGCCAGTGATATCCAAGCTAAGTTTTTGCCTTTTAATTAAATTGGGTTTATGAAAGATTTTAATGAAATGCCTCATGGAAGCCTAGATAGTGCAAGTTTTTAAACATTCAGCTCTCATTCATTACTGTATGATGACGTTAGAGAATCCACTAGCAACCCATGTTGCCGCATTTAGAACTAAAACATTCCTCCCAAATAGAAGACAAAAACAGTCACGCTTCACTGGGGATTTTGACATCAAGTATTCCTTAAGTGGATAGTAAATACATTATGTGATCAAGAATGTCTTTAGCCATGGCAAATGATGCAAGCAAATGTTCCAGTAAGGCTTAGATCACCAGAACAAATCATTTACTATGCTGTCGTAAAAAAGAGTTACCTTTGTTTTGTCACTGTTGGTGATCGGTGGGAAGGAAATAACGGTCTCCTCTGCATCAATTAGGCACGGATAATTTTCTTTACCATCCAATAAATGAAGATACCTTTAAATTAAAAGGTTATTTTAAAAGATTAAATAGTTGTTATTTTCTATATAAAAGGGGGAAAAAAATAAATCATAAAATGTGATTCTTAGGAATGTTAAATTAAAAAAAAAAAAAATACAAAAACAAAACAACTTTGGAGTTTGTGCACATCCGCAGTTAACAGACATTATACTGAAATAAAGCCTTCTGTTAGCACAAAGCTCAGAGCTTTTCTTCTTAGAATGCAAAACAAAAGGAGTGCATAGAAATCAGGCTTGAATGTTGTTTAGATACCGACAAACTGTATGCAACAAACAGTGCATTCATATAAATGTAAAACTAAAAACACAAGACTCAGGTAGGTTGAATATGAGAATGATCAAGTAGGTGTGTATAGTCGTTAGAAGATTTGCTTTATTCACTTTGTCGCTAAAAGAAGTATTGGAGCGTTGCGTAAGTAAACAATGGCAGAAAAACAATGGGGAAGTTTTTGCATTATAAATGTTCTCAATTGATTTTTGTATGTTGGCTCGTTAACAGTGAGTCCCTTTCACATCTACAATAAATGAAAAACATTTTTTTCAAAATACCTCTGTCCAAAGATTCATTAACAAGTCTTTAACTTAACCCCTTAAGGACACGACACGTGACATGTCATGATTCCCTTTTATTCCAGAAGTTTGGTCCTTAAGGGGTTAAACTATTTAGAGCTCAGATTAAAAGATAAAGTCTCAGATCTTCTAATATAAAATGAAGTACCTCCGTGCACCACCCTTTCTTATTCTATTAAAGGACCACTCTAGGCACCCAGAACACTTCAGCTTAATGAAGTGGTCTGGGTGCCTGGTCCAGCTAAGTTTAACCCATTTTTTTTTTTTTATAAACATAGCAGTTTCAGAGAAACTATGTTTATAAATGGGTTAATCCAGCCTCTAAAGCCTCTAGTATCTGTCTCATTGACAGCCGCTAGAGGCGTTTGCGTGCTTCTCACTGTGAAAATCACAGCGAGAAGACGCAAGCGTCCACAGGAAAGCATTATGAATGCTTTCCTATGAGACTGGCTGAATGCGCGCATAGCTCCTGCCGCGCATGCGCATTCAGCCGAAGAGGAGGAGGAGAGCTCCCTGCCCAGCGCTGGAGAAAGGTAAGATTTTAACCCATTACACCATTTAAGCCCCGGTTCTCAAGAGACCCGTGGCAGCCATCTTGTTAGCGTTAGCCGTGTATTTTACTCCCATCACAAAGAGGCTCTCGTGTTTTTGTGTTTTGCAGTCCAGCTGTGCTGTGCATACTGTCAGGGAACTGGTCAAGTAATACCCCTGGGGAGTGGGACTGCCAGTCAGGTATACCCTAGTATTCTGGCAAGGGGGGAGCCCCCACTTGGGTAATACCCAGAGTGCTGCTGAACGGAATCTGTATTTGCAGTCCTGATTTTCCTGGGTGAGCCCCAGTGATCATAACAAGAGTCTGCTTATCACCACACACCATTAGTCTGTGAGTAACATAGTGGGTTATACACGTTTGTGTTCCTGACCCTATAGTGATCCTTGAAGCCTCCTGTCATGTGGTAAAACTTAATATTATTAATAAACTACGCTAGTATCTTAATTTTAATAATGACAGGAGTGGACTATTCTCCCCCCCTTTTTTGTATGTTGTTCATCCCACCCTGATATAAGGTTACAAGATATTGGGTTTGTAGTACTTCATGTGTATACATTATAGGTTTGTGAGAAAAATTAGCGTATAGAGAAATTTCATTTTGTCATGGGTATATTATTCTAGTATGTTAATTTTGGATAGTGTTAGATCTATGTCAGGTAAATTGAAATCCAATTACCTAAGCTCACTGTACTCTACTGCAAAAAAGGCAATTAGATTTGCTAAACTTCAAAATGAAAAAATGATAGCTAAAGAGAGCAAAACCAACCTCAGAGCATTTTTTAAGTACATAAATTCTAAAAAAAACAAAAATGAAAGTGTAGGTACACTAAAAACTGAAACGGGTGTGTTAGTTAATGAAAACCAGGAAAAGGCAGGAATTTTAAATAATTTCTCCTCTGTATATATTAAGGAAGAACCCATGGCAATAGATGTGCAAATGATTGCTAATAAAAACTTGCAGAATAATTGTAATTGGTTAGCTCAAGACAAGGTGCTGCAGCAACTAAAGTTAATATAAACAAAGCTCCAGGGCCTGACGGTGTCCATCCACGAGTACTTAAAGACCCACTATAGTGGCAGGAAAACATACTCGTTTTCCTGGCACTATAGTGCCCTGAGGGTGCCCCCACCCTCAGGGACCCCCTCCCGCTGGGCTCTGGGGAGAGGAAGGGGTTAAAACGTACCTTTCTCCAGCGTCAGGCAGGGAGCTCTCCTCCTCCTCTCCTCCCATTCGGCTGAATGCGCATGTGCGGCAAGAGCTGCGCGTGCATTCAGCCGGTCTCATAGGAAAGCATTTACAATGCTTTCCTATGGACGCTTGCGTGTTCTCACTGTGATTTTTACAGTGAGAATCACACAAGCATCTCTTAGTGGCTGTCAATGAGACAGCCACTAGAGCAGGGGTTCTCAACCCAGTCCTCAGGACCCCCTACCAGTCCAGGATTTGGGGATTACCTGGGTGTGTCTCAGGTGTTTAGAAAAAGGGGGGGGGGAAAAACACCTTAGACTCTAAGGTGTTTTTTTTTCTCTAAACACCTTAGACACACCCAGGTAATCCCTAAACCCTGGACTGGTAGGGGGTCCTGAGGACTAACGTTGAGAACCCCTGCACTAGAGGATTTGAGGGCTGGATTAATCCTATTATAAACATAGCAGTTTCAGAAAAACTGCTATGTTTATAAAAAAAATGGGTTAACCCTAGCTGGACCTGGCACCCAGACCACTTCATTAAGCTGAGGTGGTCTGAGTGCCTAGAGTGGTCCTTTAAGGAACTAAGTGTAGAAATAAATGAAACGCTGTTTTTAATCTTTCAAGATTCTTTTCTTTCAGGAAGTGTTCCGGAGGATTGGAGGAAGACAGATATGGTTCCTATATTCAAAAAGGGTTCAAAATCCTTGCCTGGAAATTATAGACCTGTGAGCTTAAATTCTGTGGCTGTGAAAATATTTGAAAGGTTAAGGGATAATATTCAAGAATTCCTTGAGAAGAACATGATTATCAGCAAAAATCAGCACGGTTTTATGAAGCACAGGTCATGTCAAACTAACTTGATTGCGTTCTACGAAGAAGTAGAGATTTTGGATTTTGCCAAGGAATTTGATACAGTTCCACACAATGGATTAGTGTTCAAACTCAAGGAAATTGGTCTAGATGAAAATGCTTGTTCTTGGGTAGAACATTGGCTTAAAAACAGAGTACAAAAAGTTGTCATTAATAGTAAATTTTCAAGCTGGACAGAGGTGGCAAGTGGTGTCCCTCAGGGGTCTGTTCTGGGACCCCTTCTCTTTAACATGCTTATAAATGATCTTGAAGACAGCATTGAAAGTCATGTTTCAGTGTTTGCAGATGACACAAAACTGTAAAATAATACAATGTGAGCAAGATATTACTTTTCTGCAGAGGGATTTAGATAGACTGGGGGACTAGGCACTCAAATGGCAGATGAAATTTAAGGTTGAAAAATGCTAAAAGTTATGCACTTCGGCAGAAAGAATACACAAGCCACGTATACCCTTAATGGAAGCGAATTAGGGATAACAACACACGAAAAGGACTTGGGAATTGTTATAGACAACAAACTATGCAACAATGTGCAATGTCAGTCAGCAGTGGCAGTAAGGTATTGTCGTGCATGAAAAAGGGCAGTCATTTTCGGGACGAGAATATAAATTTTGCCTCTTTATAAATCACTGGTAAGACCACATATTGAATATGCTGTGCAATTTTGGGCACCTGTTCTAAAGAAGGATATTATGGCACTAGAAAAAGTGCAAAGGCGGGCTACAAAATTAATAAAAGGAATGGAACATATCAGCTATGAAGAAAGGCTAACAAATTTAAACCTATTTAGTTTAGAAAAACGTGGCCTGAGAGGGGATATGATAACATTATACAAATATATTCGGGGCAAATACAAACCATTGTGTGGAAATTTATTCACAAACAGGACTTTACATAGGACACGAGGTCATGCGTTAAGACTGGAAGAAAGAAGATTTTGTCTAAGGCAAAGGAAAGGTTTTTTTACTATAAGAACAATAAGGATGTGGAATTCTCTGTCTGAAGAAGTGGTTTTATCAGAGTCCATACAGATGTTCAAACAGCTACTAGATGCATTCTTGCAAAAACAGAATGTTCAAGATATAATCTTTCAATATAGGGTAATAACTGTTTGATCCAAGGATAAATCTGACTGCCATTCTGGGGTCAAGAAGGAATTTTTTTCCTAGCTTGTTGCAAAATTGTGCTTCAAACTGCCTTTTTTGGATCAAAAGCAAAAAAAAAAAAAAAAAATGTGAGGAAGGCTGAACTTGATGGACACAAGTCTCTTTTCAGCTATGTAACTAGGTATATGTATTCATACGGTTGATTCTGTATCACTGAAACTAGTTTATTTTCTTTCAGCGTAGCCAGTCTACAGGAGGAATTAGTTTCCATTATCATATTTAAGGATGAAGTTAGATTTTGTACAAAGTTTCTCATTTGATTCTGGACTTGTGATGTCGCACGTGTCAAGAGGAAGTGATGCGGATATGCTTTCCATTATATACACTCTGAATGTGTTCTGATTGGTTCTTTATTTCACCTGTTTTTTTCTTTGCTGCTATGGAGTTGGTAAAGAAAGTTAATACAAAATACTCGCCTCCTGTCATTACTAAAATTAAGATTAACACACATTCATCTTTAATTTCTTCTGCTCAATGACAAACAGCTCTTGTTTCATACACCAATTTTTGGGATTTCCAACTTGGTTGTATGTAACTGTAGCAAATTTAAGAAAGAAAGATAATGCTGGATGTAAAAGAAACTGAATTGACTATTTTTGTCTGAAGCTATTAGGGAAATAAGAATAGCATAAAATAAAAATAAAAAAATAACACCACAGTGTTAGGAATACAGATTTCTTTCGGTTTTTAACACTACAGCTCTAATGCCCCTTATTAATTTGTTGCGATAATTAGGAACCTTGGGTGCATGCGCAGTGCTCCCATGATTCTGCCATAGAGAATAATTTACTCTGCACATGCACACAACATCTTACTGTATGAGAGTCGGGAAGTAACATTCCCGGATCACATGGAGGTGTGGCTTGAAACTGCATTTCCAAGCCCTATAATTAGTCAACTAAAGGGATTGGTGGGTAGAAGGGAAGGTGCAGGCACTATAATAACTTTTATAAGATGAAGATGCTAAAGTGCCTACAGTGCCCCTTTAAGTGGATTTCAAATGTTATCAATAACTAAAAATTAGACAAGTAGATTTTTTTAATTAAGCGGTTTTCGCCTAAATACTGTATTTGAAATTCACTTTAGTGAAAATCCTGATCAGTGACAAGAAAATGCAAGCCATGAACTAATGGTAGCTTATAGTTTGTTATAAAACCTCAATGTTTGCGACGCATAAAGTAAAAATAGGGATATTAAGCAACTTTTACCTAGACACAAGCTTTTCTAAGATCAGATCAATTTGAGCAGAAGTATTAAGCCTCTAAGTACAGCCCGTAGCTGCGAAATTACCACTGGGTGACAGAAACCATGACAAGACATAAATAAGTAAATGCATTAATATTGCTTTTATCTCAATTAATCATCACTACACTGTATTAATCACTTTAATGCTTTTCCACTTTGGATGGTTTTATTGCATTATAAACACAGTCTGCACAAGGTAGTACACACACACACACTGCAGGTAACATAGGTATTATAGGTCAAGGATAAAGTTAGAGATTGAAGTTTATAAAGTTTGCACAATTCAACCTCACACAGAGCAGAGGAATGTTTACACTGTGTACAGAATGCCAAAAATCACATTTACAGAAGGGATTACTGTCTGATATCAATTCTGTTCATTTAATTAGTGGTCATGGCTGACTTTAAACGCTATGTTCCAGTTTTGTCGTCATATTACCAGATCTCTCCAAGAAGTAAGTCCCCTGATTTTATAAATTTTGCTTATTTCCCGGAAGGAAATTAATTCAACACTTTGCAACTTATTTTCATGCAGCAGAGAAACACATCTATGTATCATGATTGCTTAAATATCAATGTTCTCATCCAAACAGTACGCTATGTATAGAGCATTGTCTCCTGGGATTATTTTACCAACATCTTTTTGGATTTACCATAAGTGTATATTGATTTACCATGCAACAAATGAAATACTGTTGTGTTTAAATAGGTGTGCAATGCACTCACTCCTATCAAAACATTCCAGACATTTTGTTGTTATAATGGTTTTAAAGGAAAGCGAGAAAGTATACACTGCTCTACTGACTGAACTAGGGTTTTTTTCCAGGGAATGTGTAGGAAAGATGTGTGAGTCACAGCCAGGAGAGGGGCGGCTAGAGCTGCAGAAATAAAGTGATTTAACTCTTAAAGGTCCACTGTAAGAACGCAGACCACTTCAGCTCAATTAAGTGGTTTGGGTACCAGGTCCCTCTAGTTTTTTTTTTTTTCCCATATCTAATCTTTATTTTAGAAAATATTATATGACAATACACAGTAACAAAAACCATACATTTCGACATATTTGACATACATAGTTATAATTCTCTATATAGATTACCTATTGATATATCAATTTCTATTTCCACTTTTTAATATATTACTCCACTTCTAAGTTTAGACTTTACATATCCTATCCAGTATGTCAACACATAAATTATACAATACAACACAAACCCCTTCTCTCTTTTTCCTGCGATAGGGACTAGAATAGATGGACTTCATGTGCCATGTTAAAATTATACACTTGTTCATTTAGATTTTGCCGAATGATATAACTATGTACATATGTATGCGGGGTCAAAAAGATTTTTTTAGAAAAAGAAAAGGAGAGGGGAGAGGACATTACGTATTACATCTGTATCTTGCTCAGCCAATCTTTCATCATTATCCTTTCTTTTGATATTATTGACATTTCCATCTTTATACCAGTTCTTTGACAAGATCCCAACATGGAACCTTATTAGATTTCCAGTTTCTTGCCACCAATATTTTTGCCGCCATTAAAATATGTATAACTAGTGCAGAAAATTGCCCAAAGTTTTGTTGCATATTCAAGTGCAGCAAAAAGATGCTAGGGAGTGGATCTATCTTAATATTAGTCAACGCCTTTATTTTAATAGCGATCATACTCCAGAAGAGAAATACTGACCCACATTCCCACCAAATATGCATCATCCCTCCCCTATGAGCATCACATCTCCAACATCTATCCAAAATATTTAGATGCATTTTTGCTAATCTATTTGGGGTTAAATACCATCTGTTCATTATCTTGTACTGAACTTCAGCTAAATCAAGGCAATGTATATTTTTTGAAACAATAGCTATTGATCTTTTCCACTCTTCATAACTTATGTTCATATGTATATCCTCTTCCCATTTATTTATTGTAGAACAGATAAGATTTTCAGGTTCGCTTTCATATAGCTCGAGGCATCTTGATACCATTTTTTTTTTTATATTATTTCTATTTTTTACTGCTTCTTCAAGTTCAGTTCGCTCTAATTTTAACCAGTTATCTGTTAAAGTAAACCTCTCATGGCAAGCAGTTTCCCTTTACAAATTATGTAACATGCCTATTTGAACTTTAATAAACAGACATCTTATAAACTGAATAAATATGGCTGCCCATTTTTGCCCACAGAGGCCATAACAGAGCGCAACTTGTTGATTTTTAAATGGTTTCCATAACTCCCCCTTTGACTATAATTTTTTTTTTCTCATACCAACTTTGTCCACCATCCCACACTTAAAAAAAAAAAACCTGTTAAAAATAAGAACTTACCTTGAATCCATCGCCGGGCGAGGTTTTCCTCATTTGTGTCCATGCCCCATCTCTCGTCACACTGTGTCACTTCTTCCTTTGCGGAGGTCCAATGAAATGCTTCTTAGAGAGAAGCATTTGATTGGGCAGATATCCCGGCCTATACACTGTCAGCTGAGGGAGGGAGTGTGGGATGGACAAGGAGTCCACCCTCTGCATCCCCATAGAAAAACAGACTTTGGCGGAACCAGCCTTGCCAGCGGGCATTGGAGAAGACTAATTGCCAACCTCCTGCCATGTGACTATGGCCTGCTCTCCTGTACTGCTGAGTATTGCTACCAACTAGGTGGATTTGGCTATGGAGCTTGTGTAGTGCATATCGCTAATTCTGCATGCAGGAGAGACATTGTGTTAATTATGGTCTTAATTATGGTCTTCCCCACCCATTTATAAATATGTAATTATGTTATAAGTTACTGTATGTTGCCTGCTATGATTTGACTGTTTGTAATTTTATTAAGTTTTCACAACAATGTTAATGTAATGACCATATGGGCTAGTCCCACGGAAAATAAAGTTTTAGTCAGTTCTACTTCACCCTCAATTTGGAGTCCTGTCTCTTATTGGGGGGAATCTGCTACAAGGGATTGCTATGCTCTGCATATTCCCTTGCTATAATCACTCCTAAGCTCTTAAGAGCTCGTTCCTGCTTCGCTCTGAAGGAAGAGGAGTTAGGCCTGCGGTGTCGGGTAGAGTGCTTGGAATCCTCAAGAAGCGCTAGGAGCATCCATCAACGGAGGTACCCAGTCGGGGTGCCAGGTGATCCGTTACAAAGACTAATGTAGAAAATGGAAGGACACAGGGAGGGAGGTGCATGCTGACAACAGTCATAGTGTCCCTTTAACTGGAACAGGGCTGGGCTAAGTGTAGAGATTTCTGTATGTGCAGTGTTTCAAGCAGAAATGTTGCACATGGAGATGGTTTACTTCATGACCACTTCTAAAAGCCTGGAGTAACCCCTTGAGTGCTAATGCTGCAATATTTGAGAGATTTGTTATGACAACTGCACAGTGAAGAAACCATTTTAGTGTGTGAGGCCCAAAGCACACCGCAACAAGTATATAACATCCCATAATTCTCTAAATATTAAATATATTCGTTTTACATCCTTTATGCTTAATGAAGTAGTTTTGGTATATAGATCACGCCCCTGCAGTCTCACTGCTCAAATGTCTGTGATTTAAGAGTTAAATCACTTTGTTTATGCACACACCCCTAAATGTGACTTACATAGCCTTCCTAAACACTTGCAGTAAAGAGTCATCTAATGTTTATACTTCCTTTAGAATTTTGTATCTCCTGCTCTGTTAATAGCTTTCTAAACCAGGGGTATGCAACCTTTGGCACTCCAGATGTGCCAAATGTGGACTACACCCCCCCATAATGCTGGCAAAGCATCATGGGAGGTGTAGTCCAAAACATCTGGAGTGCAGAAAGCTGCCTATGCCTGTTCTAGTCCCTGCATGAGCCTTCTGTATGTAATTGAAGTTCAACTTACAGAGCAGGAGAGAAAATCTTTTAAAGTAAGTTACATCTGATAGAAAAAAAAAATGTTCTGTTTTCATGCAGACTGTGTCAGACACAGCCAGGGGAGGTGTGGCTAGGGCTGCATAAACAAACAAAAGTGATTTAACTCCTAAATGGCATAGAATTGAACAATGAAACTTCAGAGTCATGATCTATACACAAAAACTGCTTCATTAAGCTAAAATTGTTTTGGTGACCATCGTGTCCCTTTAAACATAAAATGCTTACTTGTGAAGTCCAGATACATTTTGTCTCTTTTTTTGTTTCCTTTGTTCTTCTGCCTCAAACTGCAGCTGCCGAACTAGATCTTTTGCAAAAATTTCTTTTCGCCCCAATGGTACAATCTGTAAGAGAGAGGTGAAAACACAATTGAATGGAAGTCGGATTTAATCAAAAATAACCAAAATCCCTTAGTACATGCATGAAATGGCATGTTTGCTTCTTGATCAGAGAAAATGTACTTTCTACAAGATATTTACTTGTTAAATATGGTCTAACAGTCTTTTTAGAGTAGACCTACGCAGCAATGGAGTTCTTGAAAAAACATTTTACACACAGATTTTGTTTTTAGTTGTTTTGGATTGATCCAGTTCTCATTTATACATCCAAACTAACCATAAAAAAAGAAAAATAAAAAAAATACTCCCAACAGGCCACTCAAATGTGGCTCCTAAAATATCTCAATCCAATACCTTCTTTGTAGATATCCAAAAAACATTTCAGGTGGATGATGAACATCATGCTGTCCTCAATGAAGACACCTCTAGTGGCAGTAAATCTCTCAGAACTGGCAATGTTTTATATGCCAGAAAAAAGGGAAAGCATTTATACATTTAGATGAAGTGGTTTTGGTGCTTAGTGTCCTTTTAATAATGAGTTTATGTATTGACTGCATGGTTATAACTTTGAATTTAACAAATTCAAGTTTATTTCAAAATTACACACAGATAATTTCTAAAACTATGTTCCTTAACATTTTTTTTTATTGTGAAAAGGTGCCTGATCAAATTTGGGGATTTTTTTGTAAATAGAAGGCTAACTGACAGAAACATTAAGTCAGTAAGATGTATAAATTGTTTCCGTTAAACGTAAAAATGGAAAAAAAAATGCTGTTTGTTTTCTGGAAGGTTTAACTGATGATAAATAAATGTACCAAATTCCTTGCATCAGAACAGGTAGATTGAAGTGTTATACTTTCTGAACTGGTTTGCTCCCCCACCACCACAAATAATTTGTAGATGCAAAATTATAAATGTTACAGCAACGCTTTAAGCCCTGCTCATATTACTGTATTCAGAAAAAAAAGAAATTGAATACCACAAGTTTATTTTCTTCAAGGAAAGTTAATGAGAGAACCTTTGCTAATATAAAACAGTGTACTATTTTCTGCTTCACCATGTCACCATCAACATCTGTATGCATTTTTATTTTAAATGCATCTATTTAAACATCTTACGGGCATCTCCACAAGTGCATTTCACAAACGTACGTTAGGTAAGGGGTAGGAAACCTTCAGCACTCCAGAAGTCGTTGACCACATCCTCCGTAATGATCTTACAGCCATAATGCTAAACCATCAGGGGATAAGTAGTCCATAACACCTAGGGTGCCGAAGGTTGACTACCACTGCGTTAGGTACTCCACTCACTGCACAGAATGAATGCAAAATGAAGCCAACAGCACTCCAAAGCAGTATCCAGGGAGTTACTGAAACGTAAAACAAATGTAAAACAACTACAGCTTATTGTAATGTTAATGGTAAAAAAGGCTATGGGCGATGTCCACCCATTTGTTGTACTACAGTGGTTTGATAAGAACTATGATCACCCTCGCACCCAAAGCCAACATCCTAACGTTATTGACCTGATCATAAATAGGATTGTCTTCTGCGTTATATAGACAAGATGTGCACTGATTAGCAATATTTGGCGCTGCTGAATTGATACATAATTTTAAAAAAAACGGACAAAAACTGCAGTAACTGCTTTTACTGCCTTTCTCAACCATCAAAGCATAGTGGATGTGAGGGTGTTACTTTGAAATTTTACAGGTAACATAAAACCATATTCAGAGTATTCTATACTTGTGTGCCACATGAACAAGGAGTAAAGTTTCTTCTGGATGTTTACATACAGAACAATGAAGCATGCACCTGTTTTGCCACCTGCACAGTGTTCATTTTCAAATCATGTTCCTGATACAGTTCAGATTAACCCCATAGGGATTACCTGATGTGCCATGCGGTCATGCATTTCAGGATTTAAAAGCCATGGGATTGCATGGAACATCTTGCCTTTAAGACACCAACAAGGCTAGATTCTGCTGGTACCAGGGAGACCAAGGTATCAATAAAATCAAAGTGCCAGCAAAATAAACTCAAATTTGATGATGTGAGCAAAATAAAAATGTGCAGAAAATATAGATGGCACTGATGGGCTGGGCTAATCCACCATTGAATGACCAGAGTCACATAGCCAAAAAGATGCAGCAGTGGTGGAAGCAGCAGCTCAGTCCAAAAGAGGATCATTGGACAGTTTGTGAGACCAGAAAAAATGCCTGGAAATGGCTAAGAAGGTGGATTCAAGAAACCTGGTCAGCTTGTTACGTATAAACCGTTCAAGGTGCTTATAGATGATAGGTTGTAGAGAGAGAATGGGAATTTGATGGGGAATTTGCAACATGCACAGACTAAAAAAAAATATTAAATATTAGAGTGCAAAATGATTAAATTGCAAATGAGCGATATCAGAAGATTTTGGTGAGAGAAGTGGATAGATGGAGTAAGATGCAAGGCAACATGTGGCAGAGAGGTAGGACAGAAGAATCATAGGAGGAAACCAAGGGGCAAACTTCAATTACAATTGTTTTTGTTTATAATTGACTACATAGTCTGCAGTGCTGCACAATAGGTAAAACAAAATAGCTTACAATATATTTTAATTTAATTTTGTTTTAATGAAAATGTCCTGTTGCATTTGTGATCGCAGAGTGGTTGAAACCAGTACGAACTGATGATAGACAAGGGCTTGTTTTTCCAAGAAAGACTATGATTGACAGGTCTTAGTAAACTTATCTAGCACTGCCTGCACAAATGACTGGGTTTGTAATTGCATCTCCTGCAAGATTCAGCATTAACACTACTGATTGCTTTCCAACAGTTTAACATATCCATTGCTGGGTGAGATTAGAGAGGTTCTCACAGCGGCACAGTGTACACTTCTTTCGGACACAAAAATTGTCTTAATGTTGCAAAAAGCTGAAGTAAAACTTATAAAAAAAACAAAAACAAAACAATGAATATGTCAAACGGAGATCACACACAGTATAAAATTGGTTGAAAGTACACGTAAAGCCTGTGGCTCTTAGTGATAATATAAATTAGATTAAATATTAGAGTACTTAAAAGGGACACTATAGGCACACAGACCACTTCATCTCATTGAAGTGGTCTGGGTGCAGTGGTCCTATCCCCTTAAACCCGCAATCTAACAAGATTGTACAAACCTCGGAGGAGGTGGAATTGTAGTCAGCGACGAGGGACCTGTGTTAGTTCAGGGTTAGTAATATAGTTTTGTATTCCTGTATTATAGTGTTCCTTTAAACCCCTAGCACAGAAAATACTCACAACAATATTAAAATTAATGTATGTTATAAGAGTGTTCCTCAATTCTCACTGCATAAACCTCCTATTTTAAAGTAAAATACGCTGTTTTTACTCATCTTATCTAGCGCCAGAGTGTCAGAGACAAAAACTAGAGGCAATAACTAGAGGCAATATGATTAACAAATGCAAACTTTGCAGTTTTTCAACGAATGGCAGTGTTTACGCTTTTATACATTCCGGAACAGGGTCTTTACAAGAAAACCACGGAGTTAAAGGACCAATATAGGCACCCAGACCACTTCAGCTCAATTAAGTGGTCTGGGTGCAAGGTCCATTTAGTTTTAACCCTGCAGCTGAAAACATAGTTTCAGAGAAACTGCTATGTTTCACAGAGTGTTAATTCAGCCTCTAGTGGCTGTCTCACTGACACTTGCTAGAGACGCTTCCACGATTCTCACTGTGAAAATCACAGTGAGAAGACGCTGGACGTCCATAGGAAAGCATTGAGTAATGCTTTCCTATGGGCGGTTTAAATGCACGCACGGGCTCTTGCCGCGCATGCGGAGCTCACGTCAGCATGAGGAGGGGGTCACAAGCGCTGAGGGAATCCGGCGCTAGAGAAAGGTAAGTGGCTGTAGGAGTTTTAAACCCTTCAGCCCAGTGGGTGGGGGGACGGGACCTAATAACCCTATAGTGCCAGGAAAATAAGTTTGGTTTTCTGGAACTATAGTGGTCCTTTAAGATGTAGAGGTTCTGGTACCTAGAGTGTCCCTTTACTGTAAAAAAGTAAAGATATTAAATGGCCAGAGTGCCATATTTGAAGTACAAAGTCAGAAAGCCTATTCTAAGCAACTTGGATCCAAGCATCCCAATGTAATCCAGCACTATAAAAACCCCAGTTTAAAGTCAACACTTGAAAATTGCATTTATTCCATAGAATACAAGAAAAACATTATACCATTATCCTTAGCAGTAAAATGGAAAGTCTCATCTTACCTTAACATCCTTGGGTGGTCTGGCATCATACAGCAGAGGTCCCTTCACAAGGCGCATATCATGAGTGGCAATAGTTGCTAAAGTCCTTTTGTCACATATATCATCATGTAGCTTGGTCTAAAACAAAACCAGAAATCACTGACTTGGTTATTTGAAAAAAGAACAGCAAAGCCCAAAACAAGAGGTGAAATGTTTTAGGGGGCATTCTAGGAAAGCATGCCTCTTGTATAGACCTTCTAAACTTTGTCAAAAAGTGCAAGCAGATCGACAGAAACAGAGCCCCCTGGTGCTGGCTCTTGCTCAGCATTTTGCAATTGTGGAAGTAATTTCTCATGAGAAAGTCAATTCTGTCCAAGTTTGCAAAGCATTCACTGGCTAAACGGGTCAACTGAGGGGCTCAGCCCATGAATGCAGCGCAAATCTGTACAAAACCGATACTACTAATGTGAAAGAGTAGCATTATGTATCAGCAATAGCAGTACCATGAGAAATTGACCCTTAGATAGTGTTAAACATCTCAGGAAGAGCTTCACACAAAATTGGGGGGCATTGCCAGCAGCAGAACAGTGTTTATGCATTGTACAGCTTTCTGCTTAAAAGAAAACCAGTTTTTAAAATTATCACGGACAATAAAAAAAAAAATTACATGTAATATAGCCATTCTGTATATCCTTTTGTAATTCATATACACAAAATTAATAACTTTTTCAGTGCATCCCTTAACCCCTTAAGGACTGGACTGTTTTTGCGATGTTGTACATTTGCGACCAGGCATATTTTTACACTTTTGTGGTGTTTGTGTTTGGCTGTAATTTTCCGCTCTCTCATTTACTGTTCCCATACAAATTATATATTGTTTTTTTCAGGACAAAAGGGGCTTTCTTTACATACCATTATTTATATAATCTCATGTATTTTAATTTTAAAAAAAATAAAAAAATATGATGAAAAATTGAAAAAAATACATGTTTTTTGACTTTTACTTGAAAAATCTTTTACTCATCTACAAAAGCGAATTAAAAAAACTGCTAAATAGATTCAAAATTTTGTCCTGAGTTTAAAAATACCCCGTGTTTACATGCTTTTTTGCTTTTTTTTGCATGTTATAGGGCTATAGGTACAAGTAGAATATTGCGGTTTCAAAACATAAATTTTTTAAATTTATCAATAGTGACATTGTAACACTATTATCTGTCATAAATCTCTGAATAACACCCCACATGTACATATTTTTTTTAAAGTAGACAACCCAGGGTATTCAATATGGGGTATGTCCAGTCTTTTTTAGTAGCCACTTAGTCGAAAACACTGGCCAAAGTAAGAATTCATATTTGTTTGTGTGTGAAAAAAGTAAAAAAACTAAATTGAACGCTAATTTTGGCCAGTGTTTGTGACCAAGTGGTTACTAAAAAAGACTGGACATACCCCATTTGCAATACCTTGGGTTGTCTTCTTTTGCAAATGGTATGCCATCATGGGGGTAATTCTCATTCCTGGGCTACCATACGCTCTCAAAGGCAACGTAACCAACCTGGCCATTTTCAATGTAAAAATATTTGACCCATATATTTGATCTTGTAACTTTCAAAAATGCTATAAAACCTGTACATGGGGGGTACTGTTTTACTCGGGAGACATCGCTGAACACAAATATTAGTGTTTAAAAACTGGAAAACGTATCACAACAATTATATCATCAGTAAAAGTGCTGTTTGTGTGTGAAAAATGCAAAAAAAGTCACTTTCACTGACAATATCATCGCTGTGATATGTTTTACTGTTTTGAATCACTAATATTTGTGTTCAGCGAAGTCTCCCGAGTAAAACAGTACCCCCCATGTACAGGTTTTAGGGTGTCGTAGAACGTTACAGGGTAAAATACAGTGCTAGCAAATTCAATTCTCTGGAATTTCGGCCTGGGTTGGCAGGCAGGTCCCTTAAATTGCAATCAATAAAATTACTGAATTATGTAAAACTATTACATAAATACGCACGTAGAATTTAAATATATATGCATATTTATATATTTGAAGTCTACGTGTATATTTATATAATTATTTATGTAATTTTGTATATGGACATATGTATATTTCTTATTATTTTTATTTATTTTTATATACATAGATATATATACAAATTCATTCTAAGTGTATTTTGATATAAATATATATATATTAATTTTAAAATACAGTTAGAATAAAATTTCATATAGATATAATTTTTTTATTATTATTTTAAATTTTTTTTATTTAATTTAAATTACTTCTTATTTATATTTTATAATAATATATATATACAATATATATATATATAGTTATTATATATATTATATATATATATACACGTGTGTAATTTAATTATAAGTGTATTTTTATATTAATATAAGTACATATTAATATAAAAATACACTTAGTACGGCATTATATAGATGATATATAGACATATATTATATGTCTATATATCATATATACACCTATATAATTATTGTTATTTTTTTATTAACATTAACTTTATTTTATTTTTTTGATTTTACACTAGCAGGGAGACTGCCTGTCAGCACAGACAGTCCCCCTGCAGGCAGACACATGGACACCTATTGTGACCATGTGATCGCTGTGTTAAGCGATCACATGGCCACAGGGGTCCTAAATCAGTGTGGGGAGACTGTCTGGGCTGCAGGCAGTCTCCCCACAACCGGAGGAACACTGATCGCCGCCGGGGGAACGACGGCGATCAGGTAAGTACCCCCAGACCGTTAGGATGGTTCAGGACCGTCATCGGTCCTCAAGGCAAAAAATGCCGATGACGGTCCTGAACCGTCCTCGGTCGCTAAGGGGTTAAAGGACCACTCTAGGCACCCAGACCACTTCAGCTTAATGAAGTGGCCTGGGTGCCAGGTCCAGCTAGGGTTAACCCATTTTTTCCATAAACATAGCAGTTTCAGAGAAACTGCTATGTTTGTGAATGGGTTAAGCCTTCCCCTATTTCCTCTAGGGGCTGTCTCATTGACAGCCACTAGAGGCGCTTGCGTGCTTCTCACTGTGATTTTCACAGTGAGAGCACGCAAGCGTCCATAGGAAAGCATTATGAATGCTTTCCTATGTGACCGGCTGAATGCGCGCGCAGCTCTTGCCGCGCGTGCGCATTCAGCCGACGGGGAGGAACGGAGGAGGAGAGAAGGAGGAGAGCTCTCCGCCCAGCGCTGGAAAAAGGTAAGTTTTACCCCCTTTCCAGAACCGGGCGGGAGGGGGTCCCTGAGGGTGGGGGCACCCTCAGGACACTATAGTGCCAGGAAAACGAGTATGTTTTACTGGCACTATAGTGGTCCTTTAACTTACACCAGAAGGCAGAAAGGAGATAACTAATGTAAGACACCCTAAAACTTTTGAGAAGAACTGGGGCTGTGCACAGAGCTCGAAAATTTGCTTGTCAAACTACACACACTTTAGACACAGCTTGGAACTGACAAATTTATAGGCAAGAGACACACGGCTAACAAATGTACAAATTCTCTCTGTGCAGTGATTTGAAATGTGACAGCCACTAAAAGATTTAAACTACTAGCACATAACCTGAACGTTAGCCATTGCAGCATGCCTTGTTAAACAGTTCAGACTACATAGACAAGAATGAGAGGCTCCTGACTGGCCAAGCTACCTCCTGGATTGGACAAAACAAAACCTGAAGTGTTTTTTTTGCATGTATGTATTTAATCAATTATCAAGATCGAGCATGGAAAAAAAGTCTGTCACCTTTGCCTGGAGCTGTCTTAGTAACACTTATCAAAATGTTAGACCAACGTTACTGAACAAGTAATTCTATGGAAATGTAATTGTAGAAAAACTAGTTACATTATTAAATAATGACACTTCCCATAAACAAGTACTATACAAAAACATTTTGGAAACAAACCTAGTAATGTATGAAAAAACAAAAACAAAACAAAAAAAACAAACCTGCAAACTGCTTGACCTCTCACAAGGTGCCTGAAAAGAGCCCATAGTGTCACTTTGTAAAAATAGGATACAGTACAGATTGGGAGGAAGGGACAGAGAAGTTGAATATTTTTTGATAAATAAAAGTAAATAAAGCTGTGAAAACATATTTAAAGCGGCACTGTCATGCCGAATTCTGTTGTTTTTTTTTAACCCCTCTACCGCCTCCACTACATCCAATTGACTCACTTGTCACCCCCAAATGCCCCTAAGCCCCCCACATTACCTATTTTTTTATCCTTATTTTCTGCCCCGATCTATATTCAGGGCGCCGCCATCTTTGTGTGGGTAGATGAAGTCCCTATGGGACACGTCATCAGCCCACACTAGATAGACTGTGGGATTCCCGCACATGCCCAGTGAAACTCCTGGACATGCGAACGGGAATTTCATCTATTCATTCATTCATCAGACAGACGAACGAGTGAATAGAAAGATCAGCCGAACAAACAAACACAATGTATCAGTGTATGTTTGTTCGTTCAGTTTATTACAAGGAGGGAGCTACCGGCACGCAGCTCCCTCCTTGTAATATGTAAAGATAGAAGCGGCAGAAGCACCACTTCCAAGCCCCCCCACTCACTCTATGGGGGTCAGTATGACCCCCATAATAGCACAAGGGAGATTAAAATCTCCCAAATGCCCCTACTCGCTATACCGCGAGTAGGGGCATGTCCACTAAACAGTGAGCAGCCTGTGGCTGCTCACTGTAAAAAAAAACAAAAAAAAAACAACTATTGGCCCCCACCCCTAAACAGTGAGAATGAGGGCAGTACTCCCCCCACCCCTGGGCGGCGGGTGGGGGCCATAATAGTTTTTTTTACAGTGAGCAGCCACAGACTGCTCACTGTTTACCAGACATGCCCCTACTCGCGGTATAGCGAGTAGGGGCATATTACTTACTAATACTAATTAATTTTTACTTAGTATTAGTAAAGTTGGCTGAAAGACCAATTTAGGTCTTTCAGCCTTTTAGTAGATAGCTCCCTAATACCGTGGGAATTAGGGAGTTATCTACTAAGCAGCTGCAAGATGCAGCCACAGCAATCAATAGGATCGGAGTTTCATTCATTCAAATGAAATTGCGATCCGAATAAAGTGCCGAATTGCGTTCTAAAAGAAACGAACATACCGTTCTCATTCAGTTAGAACGCAATTCGGCAGTTTTGTGTAAAGTGACAGGAAGCATTGTGGGAACACTGAGGAAAGCTAGGGATCATGGGAAAATTGCTCTGACCAGCGGAAATGAAGCACACTTTGCTCCTCCGCTGGTCAGAGCTGGTCAAGCGGAGGAATCCTCCATAAGGCAAAGAGTCCCTACTTTGTCTTATGATTTTAAAGAAAACTAAAGAAGACAGGAAGAAAAGAAGAACAGGTCCTGAGAGAGGGGGAGAAGAGGAAGAGATTGAGGAAAGGTAAGTTCGGCATGACAGTGCCGCTTTAACTAAAAGCCACTTTCTGCCATAGGCCTTGTGCAAGGGACAGATCTTCATTGGAAAAGCTTCAATTCTATCAAAGAGGCAAAGTACGCACCATAACCACTACAGCTCATTGTAGTGGTTATGACGCAGGGAGTTGTGTCAATTTGACCAAAAAAATATTTCTAGTTTTAATTATTTAATGCAATAAAATGGGAATGAACACTAGCCTTAAGTAAAGTGTTACTCCAACCCTTTGGAAGGGGGTGACCATTTATGTGTAAAATACCATACGCATCAATACCACATGTTCACATTATAGGGTAAGGCAAAGTACCATAACCAATTCAGCCTGTTGTGGTTAAATTGCCAGTTAGTTATCTGGTAAGTTTTCAAATGGTTTGACACTTACATGAGGTCTCTTGGGCACCAGCGTTCCTTACAGTTTTTAGGACAAATTCTCAATTTGCTTTAGCATGATCATGGTCTATATTTTGGCATCATTCATTGGCTGAAAGTGATATTGAGAATACCAGACACCTGAGAACATGGTAAGTGTGGTTGGATGGCACAAAGGGACTCCTGGAACCATAAAAATACTGGTTATGATACTCAAACTGCCCTTTCAACATTGGACTATTATCTTGAAGGGACACTGTAGGCACCCAAAACACTTCAGCTAATTGAAGTGGTCTAGGTACAGTGTCCCTATTGCCCTTAGTGCTGTAATGTTAAACACTGCAGTTCCAGAGAAACTCCAATGTTTACATTGCAGCTCTAAATCTGCCTCCAGTGGCTGCCTTTCACACAGCCACTAGAAAGCTATTTGGTTTGAAATGGACCTTTGCATGAGGACACCCAGCGTCAGATTTTTCCCCATTGCATAGAATTGATTCAATACTTCCCTATGAGGAGGTCTAATGTGCGCATTATCGCCCACTTGTTGCAGGACGGAGGAGGAAGAGCAGCTTCGACCTAGCGCCGAGGGACACTGAGGAGCGGTGCACGAGGAAGGCAGGGGGAGCGATAGTACCAGGAATATAGTTTTGTATGCTTGGCACTAGAGTATTCCTTTAAAGGCTTTAGCAAGAGAAAATTACATTATTTATAGAAGGGGAAAGTTAGAAGACGAAGGCATACCACAACAGGTGAAAGGACATCTATAGAAATACAAGAAACATCTTTTTAGGTTTCGCTACAGGAAGAGTTGTAAAAAGTAAAAGACTAACACTGCTGAAAAAGGTATTGAAGAGACCAACTATGTCTCTGAGCAGGATTTAAAACACGGACTCTGTTACTTTTAGAAAGGAAATTGCAGATTAGATGGACCTTTTTTAATTTTTTTTAAATATGCCATCAAAGTCTATATTATGATTCATCTTCAACTGCAGTAGGTACTAGAAGCACAAAAACACATGAGAAAAAGATCACTTAAATCTGCAGGTCTATGAAGCTACTATAACATGAAAGAGATTAACAGTGTTGTGCAACATCATTCATAGAATATGTCCCTTACTAGGTGCGCACCACAAATTTCAGATATGCTCTGCCACCTAGTGGTAAAAAATAGTTAAAAGCATTTTAGAAATTTGATTCCGATGTCACTTTTAAAACAAGGCTCGACAAACCCCAGGCACCAGCTCACCCTGGCGACTAAAAAAGTTTGACAGCCCATTCAGCATCAGCCCCACTGCACTCCCGATGTAGGCTGAGTGAGAATGGAGACAGCGGCAATGGAGCTCCTATTGCTCTGCTCCCTCACATGCCCTGCTGTGATGCTGGAAGCGGAGAGATGAAAGTAATTTCGCCCCCCAGCATCAGTAAACAGCATTCGAGGGAGCAAATCAAAAAGAGCAGGAAGATTTCAGCAGCCACACTGGACTACATGAAAGGAATCCACTTCTGCTCACCCAAAAGGTAGTGTCTGTCTGCGAGTGAGTGTATGTTTAGGTGATCAGCCCCTTCTCCGGCTGCATGGGAAATGTGTTTTAACTCAACCCTTTTCCCACACCGTGCTGGTCGTCGTGTCAGAGATAATCAATCTTGATGATCTCAGCCAAGACAATGCTTTCCCATAAAAAAAAGGATTGGGAGGATATTGTGCGTGCACAGCAAAATGCAGCTCTATGGGGAACATTCAGCACCTCCATGCACAGCACAGAGACAGTGAACGTAGGTGTTGCACATTGCAGCAGTGGTCTAAGAATCACCTCTAGTGGCTGTCTTAGTGACTATTACTAGAGATGTTATTAGGCAACAATGTAAACACTGCCTATTCTCAATGCTGAATTTATATTGAAAAGCCTGTAGGGACATACTATAGACACCAGAAAATTAAGCGGCAGTACTATAGTGAATTGTATTTTTGTCGTTGAAAATAAAGCTTTGTTAGTTTAACCAAAAAAAAAAAAACCCCAGAAAAAAGGCTCCTAACTTTTTTAGCTGGCTCCTAGATTGCAATGAAATTTGTCAAGCACTTCTTTAAAATAAATATGCAGGAGTAGGTTGTAAGTGCAAAAAAAAAAAAAAAAATGGGGCGTGGGAGGCAAGCCTTGGTAGGAAAACCTAAAACATACTAAATGTAAAAAAATCCAAAATATCAGAATGAGGCTGCGCAAGGAAAAAGAAGAAGATGGGAAAGGGAAATAAATAACGGACTAAAAATAAATAAAAATAAGTGAATGGTTAACGTTACTTCTTTAAAATAAACATGACTTGTTCCTATGTATAGCATTGTATGAGGTGCATTTATGGCACATTTAAAAGCAGAAAGATTTTGGAATAGTATTAGTCTGTCATTTGCCTTTTAATTATATAAGTTCACACTCTCAAAGAAAGTCCTGGTATATGGACTGAAACACTGACCGTTTGTACGTGTATGACTTAACACTATAAAGAGCATTACTCTTACTACAAAATCCTCTGGAATGCATTTTCTTGGAGTCACAAACGTAAAGGAACACTTCAATGGATTTCCCCCCACTTTAGTAGATATAACCCAATTAAAACATGCATACATTTATTGCTGCATTTGTTTCCATCGTGGTATAGCTAAAAACAGCTTGAAAAAGCTGCAGATCAGCTGTCTGCAGCCTTTGCAAGCCCTTTCCAATCTTGAACTTGGAAGCTTGCTAGCCTCACAAAATCAGAGGCTCCTCAATGAGAAGCATGTCATTGGTCATGATAAACCACTGTGAGATCAGCATGCAGCCCACTACCTCCAGGCTGGCAGCCAGAAAGTCTGCAGACAGGTCTAAAGTGAGTTCTATGGACGTGTGCACAAACGGCACACTTTCTTGGGCAGAAGGCAGGTGCACAGAGCTAACGGAATCAGGAAGGAAATCCTCCACAGCTATCTGAGGGAGGTGTTACTGCAGTTATTTTAAAAAGTGCCATTTGTAAATAGAAAGCAGCATCTTTATAAACTGCAATTAAGATCTTACTTTATTCAATTCTGCTGCTACTGGCTCTGCCCCTGATCTGCCTTACTGGCTGACATCATCAGAAATGATTCTCTGAGCCAATCACACTGATCTCCCATAGGAAACTATTGGACTGGCCTAGACTGCCAAGGAGGCAGTTTAGGGAAAGAGCCAGCACAAGTCAAACACAGCCCCGACCAATCTGCATCTCCTCAGAGATGCAATCAATGCATCTCTATGAGGAAAGTTCAGAGTCTGCATGCAGAGTGTGGAGACACTAAATGGTAGTGCTGCACACTGTGTAGCGCTTCCCCAGGAAGCACATCTAGTAAACATGTAAACATTGCATTTTATTTAAAAAAAGACAGTGTTTACTGCAAAAAGCCTGAAGAGAATGATTATACTCACCAGAACAAATGCAATAAGCTGCAGTTGTTCTGGTGATTTTAGTGTCCCTTTAAAAAAAATGAGCTGATCCAGAGAATCTTCAATATTCTACTGCAGATTGCAATAGCATGCCAAAGAGCTCAATTCTTGTTTATTTTTCAGGAAAGGAGCTATTGGAGAGAATTCATACAAGTTACTAGGGGAGCCTGGAAGGAGTGTGAAATCTGTACAAAAATCTTTTTTTAAAAAGTGTACTGGAATGATAGTTTCCAATGTGATATTACAGAGAATGGGGCAGACTGTAGCTACATGCAGGGAGACAATGAAAAAAAAATAAAAAGATCCTTGTACGATCACCTATGATTTAAATTCTTTGCAATTCTGTCTACCAAATGCAGTCTATGAATTTGATATTATAAAACTACATGCATGGTGACTGGCAGTTGTAAGCTTCCTCCTGCCGAGTAGGCTTTGTGAAACACCGCCCTCAGAATCGTGAGATACCGCAAAAGGAAGCACACCAATGGAGTATAGTATTCTTTGATTGTGTAGGTACACTGATTAAATCAGATTTGTAGAGTTAATATCAATCAAGTTCAATATAAGTTACAAAAATAAATAACAATTCAGTCAGAAACCTCTAAAATTACTAAACTGAATTACCGGGAAATCATTAAGGAATACTAAAAACGGTTTTAAACAATTCTTTAACTCTCAGTGTTTACAGCTAAAATATTTTAGCCTAAAATTTGGAATCCTCTGATTCCTGACAGTTCACAGTTTAGCGAATAACCTTGTGTTTATGCTACCCAACGTTTTTCCAAACTGGATTAAAGCAGCACTGCCACTTAGATATGTTCTTTAGGAAAAAAAGTCACAATGACGGTTTTGGAATTTGAAAACAAGCACAAGAGCGGATATAGAGGAAAGATAGAGCAACTGAAGTCAATCAAATCAGACCACTATGTCCGCACACCAGTGGGACATTCCAGGGCATAACCCTAAAACGTATATAGAAAAAAGAAAATAGTACTTCTCAAATGAGAATAGCCGCCTGGATATTAAACAATTTAGATACTAAATAACCATAGATGAAAAAATAATAACCTTGAAAAAAAATACTAAAAGATACAAGCCTTTTAAGGCTACTCCTATGCCAATATGTAAAAAAACATTTTTGTAAGGACATGGATATAGGTAATATATGAAAAATAAAAAAAGCTTTATTGTAACCTTATCAGTGGAATCCTATACCATCCTATCTCAGTCCGTTTACTAGAGGCAAAAATACCATGTCTGGGAGTCACCCTGAGGCTGAGTAACAGCCAAATAGATACGTTCAAAATCAATACAGAAGATATAAAAGGGATAGAAAACAGCCTCTCACACTGTTAATCTTACTAAATAGGCATAAGGAGAAAATGAATGAAGAAATAAGCTAAGTTAGGCCATCTAAAAACATAATGTGAGAAAATAACCCTAAAATTGAAAATAAATTATAGTGGAGTGAATTAAACCCCCATTTTAAAAACAGAAAAAGAAAGCCTGCGCACGTTTTGGTGCCAAACAAGTTGCACCTCCGTCAGGGGTTAACAGAGAAATTAAAATGACCTGTTTATATAGGAATACCTCACGTGGAAGTAATCAGCTGTGATGACTAACGTGTAGTGGGCGTATGGTATATCCGACTGAGATAGGATTCTATTGATAAGGTTACAATAAAGCTTTTTTTTATTTTTCATACATTTCCTCTATCACTGCTCCTGTCCTCACAAAAAAAATATATATATATATATTACATATTGGCATAGGAGTAGCCTTATAAAGCTTGTATATATATATTTTTTTTTTCAAGGTTATTAGTTTTTCATCTATGGTTATTTAGTATCTAAATTGTTAAATATCCAGGAGACTATTCTCATTTGAGAAGTGCTATTTTCTTTTTTGGAATTTCACTAACATTATAAAAGCAAACTGGCTGTTGTGTTATTCATATACCTATAGGTCTACAAGAATTACCTGTGCAGCTAGGAACCGTTTTAGAGCATTGCCAGGTTTCAAGTTCATTCCTCTGACCACACAGCACACGATGTATTGCCGAACGTCCTTTGTGCTGGCACTTGCTTTTACAATGAGTGGCGATGAGTTCTCTGAAATATGCAGGATTTTTAGCATCATTTTATTCAACTCTTCATCAGGGTCATCTTCATCTCCTCCGTTATCTTTCTTTGGTTTACGCTCTCGCTTTTTCTTTTTGTCTTTCACGTCTTCCTTTACAGCATTTTCTGTCTTTTTTCCTTTTCCTCCTCCACGTCCTCCAACCCGTAGATAATCCAATACAGACTTTGTTTGACAGCCATTTACCATCTTTTCCAAGCGTTTGTCTTTAAGCTTGTTGCCCGTGAAGTTTATTTCTTTCAACTTACTGCAATCTGCCAACTCACAAGGGATGTCAGTGAGTTGGTTGTTGGAGAGATCCAGACTCTGAAAATACAAATAAAAGCTAAAGCGACTGATAGTTTTATTGTATCTTACACAGGGCAGAGTTTGCTAAACACCTACGAAGAGTTGTGCAAAAATATACAGTGTAAGTCAGAATTCACTGGGCTTTAATGTAAATACAAATTGCGAAATTTAGGCTCAATAACCAAGCTGAACAAAACTGATACACATGCATGCTCTGCAATCACTAAAGTGATTTGAAGTGGTCATGGTACCAGCAGTCTGTATGTTTCACTTTGGAACACTGCACATGCAGAGCTTAACCACTTTGCTGCTGGAGGCGCAACTCCACTTCTGGCAGTGTCATTAGCCACCCTGTACAGATTTCGATCCACAGGATCTCATTCATTGGCTGAGAGTTGCCACTCTCAGCTAATAAATGAATGGCAGGATCAGCATTCAGCTTCACAAACAGTGCTTCAAAAGAGACCTGGTGCCTGACTACCAGTTAAAGGGACACTGTAGACACCCAGACCACTTCAGCTCATTGAAGTGGTCTGGGTGCCAATTCCCATCATCCTTAAGCTGGTTTTCATAAACTGCAATAATTACCTTGCAGGGTTAAGTCCTCTAGTGGCTGTCTACCAGACAGCCACTAGAGGGACTTACAGCTTCATAGACTACTTTTGGTCGTTGTCACCCTATCGCCGGAATCCCCATGGGAAATAATTGGATAATGTTTTCCTATGGGGTGACTAATACGTGCGTGACCATAGCCACGCATTATATCTCCCCTGCCGGCGCCGGATTCAGGTAAGTGTCAGAAGGGGGTTTTAACCCCTTCAGCGGCGTGGAATGGGGGGCAAGCAAGGATTTTCTAGAGCCAGGAAAACAAGTTTGTTTTCCTGGCACTAGAGAATCCCTACAAGTAGTAAAACCATTGTAAAACTGAGGAACAGCGCCAAAATACTTCTCACATCATAACCACTACTGTGGGTTTTAGTGATTATGGTGGTTAGAGTTCTATAGCGGCGCTGTCACCGTCTGGGGGTCTAGTGTCCGGTCGCGCAGGTAAAGGTGAGATTTACTTTCTTCAAAATGAGTATTTTATAAAAAGTTTCTATCTTTATGAAATATAATCTTTATGAAATACTCATTTTCCAGGGGAGGTGACATGAATCAGGCCACAGCTGGTTAGCTGCTGTTTGTAAGTCACTGGCTGCGGTAAGTGGCCGGTACCTTTAGCCCTTGCAGGAGGCCGATCTCCTCCCCCAGCTCCTGGATTCGGTTGTCTGCAGCCGATATAGAGGCCAGCAGGGCCAGCTGGGAGCACAGGAACCCGGGAGGGAATTCGGTGATGCAGTTCTTAGACAGGTTGAGCCCGGCGATCTTAGTACATCGCTCCAGCCCGGCAGGGAGCTCCCGCAGCCGGTTGCAGCTGACATTCAGGGTGCAGAGGTCGGACAGCTGAGCGATCTCCGCCGGCAGCTCCTCCAGCTCGTTCCCGGACACATCGAGGACCCGCAGGGCTCTGAGCTCGCCCAGGGCCGGGGGGATCCTCTGCAGCTTATTGCGGCACAGCACCAGGCTCTGCACGTGGGAGAGCCGCCCCACGCCGTCACCCAGCTCCCGCAGCTCCGGGCACCCGCTCACCTCCAGGTAGTTAAGGAGGGAGAGGCTGAACAGAGCCGGGGGGAGCTGGCCGCCGCACGCCCGCAGCTTGTCATCCACAGCCGGACCCTGGAACACCAGCTCGCGGCGCTTCTCCTTCTCCGCCTTCTCGATCTCCGGCCACTGCTCGCTGGTAGCCGCCATCTTTACCGACAGCCAGACCCTCACACCCGGAAATACAAGAGCAGCCAATCAGAATCCAGCACACCGGAAGTTTGTCAGAAACTGCTTCCGCCAGGAGATAGGAGTGGGCAAAGCTAGCCTCAGCCTGTACTGTGTGTCTGTCTGTCTGTCTGTGACTGTACAACATAGCCTGTAATGTGTGTCTGTCTGTCTGTCTGTCTGTGATTGTACAGCATGGCCTGTACTGTGTGTCTGTCTGTCTGTGATTGTACAACATGGCCTGTACTGTGTGTCTGTCTGTCTGTGATTGTACAACATAGCATGTAATGTCTGTCTGTCTGTGACTGTACAACATAGCCTGTACTGTGTGTCTGTCTGTCTGTGACTGTACAGCATGGCCTGTAATGTGTGTCTGTCTGTCTGTCTGTGATTGTACAACATAGCATGTAATGTGTGTCTGTCTGTCTGTCTGTGACTGTATCGCATGGCCTGTACTGTGTGTCTGTCTGTGATTGTACAACATAGCATGTAATGTGTGTCTGTCTGTCTGTCTGTGACTGTACAGCATGGCCTGTAATGTCTGTCTGTGATTGTACAGCATGGCCTGTACTGTGTGTCTGTCTGTCTGTGATTGTACAGCATGGCCTATAATGTGTGTATGTCTGTGATTGTACAGCATGGCCTGTAATGTGTGTCTGTCTGTGATTGTACAACATAGCAAGTAATGTGTGTCTGTCTGTGATTGTACAGCATGTCCTGTACTGTGTGTCTGTCTGTCTGTGATTGTACAGCATGGCCTATAATGTGTGTCTGTCTGTGATTGTACAGCATGGCCTATAATGTGTGTCTGTCTGTCTGTGACTGTACAGAATGGCCTGTAATGTCTGTCTGTCTGTGATTGTACAGCATGGCCTGTACTGTGTGTCTGTCTGTCTGTGATTGTACAGCATGGCCTATGTGTGTCTGTCTGTGATTGTACAGCATGGCCTGTAATGTGTGTGTGTGTCTGTCTGTCTGTGACTGTACAGCACGGCATGTACTGTGTGTCTGTCTGTGACTGTACAGCATGGCCTGTACTGTGTGTCTGTCTGTGACTGTACAGCATGGCCTGTACTGTGTGTCTGTCTGTGATTGTACAACATAGCATGTAATGTGTGCCTGTCTGTGATTGTACAGCATAGCCTGTACTGTGTGTCTGTCTGTGATTGTACAACATGGCCTGTAGTGTGTGTCTGTCTGTGATTGTACAGCATGGCCTGTAATGTGTGTCTGTCTGTGATTGTACAACATAGCATGTAATGTGTGACTGTCTGTGATTGTACAGCATAGCCTGTAACAGACATTCCAACATGCCAAAACTCATTTTAGGGAGGTAGCTGCACAAGCTAGTAAGCTATTGGGTAGGCGGACTTTACAGACATGATGAGAGAGTAACACAGCGCGCATCCTAATTGGTCTCTCTTTCAGGACGCGTAGTGTGTCACTCTCTCACTACGCTGGTCACTCGGTTCTTCGGTGTCTGTAGCGACAGATGTGACAGGGGCAAACCCAGAATCTAATCTCGGGAGGGACACTGGTAGTCGGTTGTAGTGGGGTGGTAGAGGCTGTTATTGAGGAGTTATAGGCTGTAGGTGGGGGACAGTGGCTGAAGTGGGGGATAGGGGCTGTAGTAGGGGGGTGTGATGGACCTGAGTTATTACATGAGGGTGCCCGAACCTATATTTAGTTCTACCGAACAGACCAGTACACCCTTTTCGGGTACTGAACAGAACTTGTGTGGTCCCCCTCTTTAGTGACTTAGAACACCGACCACCCCTGGCTGTTAACTGCAATTAAAGGATTAACTTGAGTGCTTTCCACTGCCATTTTGTCTCCCGAACGCGGGCAGCGGTACTTGGTCATTGATTCTGTGCAACTCATTTTGGCTACACATTCTTGCGTACCTGGGTTATAATGGCACTGCTGCCTGTATACTTTCCCGACCAGCTAAACCAACCATTTTCGGGAGATATGATCTACCGACTGGGGGGAACGTTCGCTACCTAAGAGCCCGGGGGAGCATTCGGCTGTGTTCGTACAGGAACTCTCGATCAAAGACCCGCCTCTACCCTGGATTCTCCGAAACTCTTTTGGGGCATTACCTCGTTGCGGGTCGGTCAAAACTTCTCCCAAATAACGATCCACTGAACCAATGAGCGCTTTTCGAATATGTTGTGCGCTCAGACCCAGGCTATTTGGAGATATAAGAATTGTGGGGTTTCTGTAATGTTTTATTATGGTTTTCTTGTATTTTGTGATATTTTATGTTAGTCCTGTAACTGAGAGATAATTGAGTTATCATGTTTTCCCAGCTCAATTATCTCTCAGACCCAAAGACTCTTAGGAAAAAGCCCTGTGAACCTGCTGTAGAGACCCCATACTTTAGGGCTGTGCATAAAAAACTGTGTGTGGGCCAATAAAAATCAGTTGACTCCCAGAATTTTGTGTCGTAAAGTTACTGAGGGAATGGGCTATGATCACTGACCAGCGCTTTCTTCCAGCTCCAGAGGATTCCAGCAGAGATCTTGTATCTTAGGATTGCAGCTCTGCTACAGGGGGTTAGGGGCTGAAGTAGGAGGATTGCTGCAATTGGGGAAAGGGGCAGCAATTGGGGGAGAGGGACTGTAGTGGAGAGGATATGGGACTGTACTGGGGGATAGGGACTGTAGTCAGGGAATTGGGGATGTAGTGGGGGAATGGGGTGTAAAAGGAGAGTTGGGGGCTATAGTAGGAGATAAATGCTGCAAGTGGTTGAGATAGAGGCTGTAATGGGAGAGATACAGACTAGTGGGAGGGATAGGGGCTGTAGTAGGGGAGTTCTGGGCTATTATTGGAAAGAAGGGACTGTAGTGGGGTGTAGATGTTGTGCTTGTGTGGATAGGTCTGTATTGGGGCATAGAGGCTGCAATTTGGGGGGTTATTTACAGTAATGCTGCTGTCTGGTTTGTCCACTCCAATCTCTCCCTCTGCAAACTGCAGTCTCAGCCACTGTGTGCTCCCTAGTCCCTCTGCAATCTCCATTCAGGGTAAGGTGTGGATGAATTGTCTGCTCCACTAATTTCTATCATCCTGCCATCCATGTCTCTTCTTACCCCCCTTCCACCGAAGCAGGCCCCGGAATGGTGCGGTTTGGTTCGATTGTATGGGCCACTTTCATAATGGAAACACTCAAAATAGCGTACCAGACCGTACCGAACCGTACCGCTCAGTGGAAATGGGGAATAATACTACTATGAATGCGATAAGAATATTAATAATAAAAGTGAGGAACCTTTATTTTCAAAGTCACTGCATAGTAATAGGGGGTAACCCTGAAAGACAAATGTATAATATAAGAGGAGGCAATTTACTATACCTGATAACGTAAAAATAAAACTTAGCTTTTATTTATATGAATATAGTTAAAAAGAGATTACAACATGAAAAGGTGCTGAAAAATTACAGCTCAGTGAGCTAGAAAATCATCAAATGTATCACACTAAATAGAGTGAAGTGAAAGAGGTTCTAAAAAATGTAATCTCTAGAGTATTAATCAATAAGGGTAGATGAATATCATCACTATCTGAAAAATAGCTCATACAGCTCTTTACATACGAGGTGTCAATAGTATTTAACGTTGCAGGTAGCAAAACAGAGAGTACAATACAAAATATCTCAAATGTATCTATAATTGCAATACTAGACTTAGACTAGCCCAGTGATGGCAAACCTTTTTGAGCCCGAGTGCCCAAACCGCAATACATGCCAACATTTTTTCTCCTTAAAGTGCCAACAAGGCAATTAAACCCAAATACTGAGGTTTAAGTTTAGAAAAAAACAACTCGTACTGTTGTCCGAACTAATAACTTTTGTTTTAAAAGAACACAGAGAGTTCAATGATACAAATTTTAAATAATGATATAAATAGATAAAATTAAGCTTATATTTATTAGTATCTCCAACAAATGCAATACATACACACACAGACTGCTGAATACACACACACACAGTCTGCTGAATACACACACACACAGTCTGCTGAATACACACACACACAGTCTGCTGAATACATACACACACAGTCTGCTGAATACACCCACACAGACTTCTGAGTACACCCACTCAGACTTCTGAGTACACCCACTCAGACTTCCGAGTACACCCACTCAGACTTCTGAGTACACCCACACAGACTGCTGAGTACACGCACACAGACTGCTGAATACACGCACACACACACACTGCTGAATACACACATACTGCATTGAGGTGGGGGCAGGGCCGTCTTTAATAATGAATGGACCCTGGGCAAGTGTTTGCTTGGGCCCCCTGTGCCCTGCCGCTCTCGCCCCTCACTCCCTGGTATGCAATCACGGCATCCATCCCAACGCAGTGGCGGTACTAAAGTAGAATGAATTTTATTGGGACACCCAATTGCAAGGTTGGACTAAAGGTAGAACCCCATCTGTCGTGCAACTCCAACAATGCTTTGACAGCTGGGACTCTACCAATTTCCCATGCTTGCAGGGTTGTATTTAGCACTGAGCCATGTTAGTATGTTTGAATGTAAGCATGTGTTTGTATGGAGTATGTTTGTGTGAATGTGTTTGTATGTGGTACTGGAGTTTGAATGCAAGTGTGCATTTATGTGTAGTGTTTGTTTTTGAATGTAGGAGTGTGCTTGTATGTAGTGTTGACGTTGGAGGTGTGTATTTGAATTTAAAGTTGCGGCTCAGATGCACAGGTACACACTCTGACGCACAAGCAGATACACAGATACATACACTGACTACATACAGATAAACAGGCACATACACTGACAGACACACTGACACAAGTACATATATTGACACACACACAGACACATACACTGGTAGACGTACTGACAGACATACTGACACAGGCACATATACAGACATACTGACACACAGACACATATACCGACATACTGACACACACACACACAGACACATACACTGATCAACATACTGACACCCACATACACTGAGAAATACTGACACACACACACAGGCACATACACTGGCACACACAGACTGATATACTGACACACACACACACAGACATACTGGCACACAGACAGATATACTGACACATGCATACACATGCACTAACAGACATACTGACGCACTGACAGACATACGGACACATACACATACTGACACACACACATATATACTGACACAGACAGACAGACATACTGACACACACACAGACATACTGACACACACACACAGACATGCTGACACACACACACACATACACTAACACACAAACACACAAACTAACACACATACACACTAACACACATACACACACACTAACACACATACACTAACACACAAACACACACACTAACACACATAAACACACACATACACTAACACTAACACACATAGACTAACACACACACACACACACACTAACACACATACACTAACACACACAAACACACACATACATACACTAACACATACATACACTAACACACACATACACTAACACACACATACACTAACACACAAACACTAACACACTAACACACACATACACTAACACACAAACACACACATACACACATTTTTTTTTTTTAAATGTAATCCCCCCAGCCTCCTTACCTTTTGGAGTGCTGGGGATTTCAGAGGTGTGAGATGGTGCTGCTTTGGGCTCCTGGGCGAATGTATGTGAGAGCACTCACTGCTTCCTCGCTGGCTCCACTCAGCGCGTAGGATGCACGGGGGCGGAAGATCGCATCTTCCATTGCGGTATCAATGTCGCGGGGCTGAAGAGGGAAGCGGTGAGGTGCTCCCACCCGCCACGCCTGCCCGACAGCCACCGCCCAGCCCGAGTGGCCGAATACGGGGCAGTGCCTGGGCAAACTGGGCCGGGGAGCGCTGTTGCTCCAGCAACCCTGTCTGTGCAGAATATGAGTCCTCCTACTGTCTCTCAAGTCTTAGGTTTCCTACAAGCGGGCCTGGAGAAGGGTCATAGGCTTAACACCCTGAAAGTTCACTGCTCAGCTATCTCTGCTCTTTCTGGCATTCGATGGGCTCTTCATCCTATGGTGGTTCATTTTTTCAAGGCCGTTTTACGAATTAGACCTATCAGACAACTGGCGGCTCCTTGGAATTTGCCTCTGGTGCTGCAGGCTCTAACGTATCCTCCCTTCGAATCTATTGGTGACATACATATGCAGATCCTTTCTCAGAAGACACTATCATTGCTAGCTCTAGTCTCTGCTAGAAGAATGTCTGACATCAGGGCTTTATCAGCCGAGGAACCTTACACTTCCTTCTTCGATGATAGGGTCGTTCTCCCCCCGAGACCTGAATTTCTTTCCATCTCAATCAAGAAATTGACTTGCCTGCCTATTTTCAGGATCCTTCTACCCCTGAAGAGCCAAGGTGTCATATGCTGGATCTTTGGAGATGTTTGTTGATGTATATAGAGCGCTCTGCTGCTTGGAGAAAATCCTCTCAGTTGTTCATTATACCTTGGGGTTCTAGCAAAGGTGAAGCCGCTTCAGTCTCCTCTCTTCGTTCCTGGACAGTTTCTGCTATTTCCAGGGTTTATAGAGTGATGAATGTTCCTGTTCCCAAAGACATCAGAGCTCATTCCACAAGGTCCATTGCTACTTCACAGGCTGCAAAGTCAGGAGTTCCTGCAGAGAGCATCTGTAAGGCTGCAAATTGGTCATCTCTAAAGACCTTTGTGAAACACTACAAAGTGGATGTAGCTTCTCGCTCGGATACGGAGTTTGGCCTGTCTGTCCTGAACTCCTTTAATCCGCATAGCTGATTTATATATTAAACTATTTTTTGTAGCATGCATTTCCCTCCCTGTGTTATTATTGCTGGGGGAATCCCATATGTTAAATGCTGCCATGAC